GAGTACCCGAGAGATGGCAGGTTAAGGCGTTCAATAATAAACATAGCTGTGTTCGTAATGGCCATTGCGAGATGATTAAGGTCCCGGTTATAGCTAGATTGTTTGTAGACAAGATAAGAGAAGAGCCATTATATTACATGCCTATGAAGATAGAAGAAATATTCATGGAAAGATGGAAGATCACTGTCTCAAGACCTTAATGCCAAGCTGCTAGAAATAAAGCATTGAGGTGGATTAACAAGGAATATGAAGAGCAGTTTGCTCGTCTCCGAGATTATGGTGCTGAGATAATGGAGTCGAATCCAAATTCTACTGTAGAAGTTGAGACTGAGAGAAACGAGCAAGATCAAGAGGTTTTCAGCCGTTTTTATGTATGCTTTGATATTCTTAGGAGATCATGGAAATCTACTTGTAGGCCACTAGTAGGATTTGATGGCTGCTTTTTAAGAGGAAAAATGAAAGGGCAGTTGTTGGTTGCTCTAGGCCGAGATGCTGATAATGCCATATATCCTGTAGCATGGGCTGTTGTGAAAGTGGAAAACATACCTAATTGGGTGTGGTTTATGAAGAAGATTAAGATTGATTTAGGCTTAGAAGATGGTGAAGAATATATCTTAATATCGGATCGTCAAAAGGTTAGTGTTTTTTTATTTGTGTCTTGTGATATTTGTATTTGCTTACATCTTCTAAGTTATATTTATCACTGTATATCTCAGGGACTGATAAGTGACGTTCAGATGGAATTGCCAAAGATGGAGCATCAAATGTGTGTTAGACACATATATGCGAATGTGAAGAGGAGACATGCGAAGAAAGATATGCTGAAGCCATTAATTTGGAATCTAGCGTGGAGCTACAATGAAGCAGATTATAAGGAAAACCTTGATAGGTTGTTGAAGTATGACTTACAAGTTTATGCGGATGTTATGAAAACAAACCCGAAGACATGGTGTAGAGCTTTCTTCAAGTTACGAAACTACTGTGAGGATGTTGAGAACAACTCCACAGAATCCTTCAACAGGACCATAGTTGGTGCCAGAGAGAAGCCATTAGTCCCAATGCTAGAGACCATTGCTCGACTTGCAATGGTGCGTATTGCTAAAAGAGACGTCAAAGCTCGAGCGCACAAAGGTATTTATACACCCTATGTGACTGAATTTCTCGCCGAAGAGCATACAAAGGCTTCTGAGTGCACGGTTTATAGAAGCACAAATGGTAAGTGGTTAGTCTATCTTGAAGGATGTTCTTACCGTGTTGTCTTAGAGAAGAGGACTTGTACTTGTATGAAATGGCAACTCACGGGAATCCCTTGTGCGCATGCATATGGCGAGATAATGCATAAGAAGCTGGAGGCTGAGGACTTTGTGTGTGAATGGTTTCATACAACCATGTGGAGGAGGACATATCAAGAGGGAATAACTCCAATTAGAGGAGCAAGGTTTTGGCCATGTGTATTAGATGCTTTTGTGCATCAAGCTCCTGAACCAGATCTTCCTGGTCGCAAAAAGAAGAACAAAAGGAAGAAAGGGAAAAATGAGTCTCCCGTGAAGAAAAAATCGAAGGCTTTAAAACGTGTAATGCATTGTGGGATTTGTGGTGCAGCTAATCATAACTGTCGCTTTCATAAGAAAAAGGTAATTTGGTTTGATTTGGTCTCATTTGAATCTCTGATTTTATGTCAATGTTGTTCTGATTTTTGCTTCTTTCTTAAAGCCTAAAGAAGGTGAAGCTTCGCAAGTCTCTCTCACTCAAGGCGAACCTTCACAAGGCATTCTCACACAGGAATTAGTCTCACTTTCACAAATGTTAGATTTTTCTTGACTTGATATCTTGGTTTTATGTTTTTTTGTTGTCTTAAGATGGTTAATATGATGTCTTGGTTTGATGTTTTTTGTTGTCTTAAGATGGTTGATATGATGTCTTATGCTGTGTCTTATGACAGGGATTAGGAATAACATTGCAGGAGGTGACTTAGAATAGAAGAGGAAGACTGCATGAGCTGGTTTTTGTGTTGTGTCTTTCTCTCATTTTCTTTTGGTTTTCGGTACTTGTATTGTGAACATGAATTTAGTTTGTTATCTATGTATGAACATGAATCGGTTTGTTGAATCAGTTTGTTTGAACCTTTGGGTTAAATGAGCATGAGTTTTTCAGTTTTTTGTTTACTTCTTACATTTCTTTACCTTGCCTTGCACAAAGAATAGGACACAAGAACAATATCATTCAATATAATAAAGCGACAACAAGTTTAAACAATAGAAAACATAAGAAAGAAGAATTTGATTGATCCAACAAACAACAAGACACTAGAAGTTCTACAAGACACTACATGTTCTACAAAAGACTCAACCTGCTATTTTCAAGAAAGCAAACAAAATCATGCAACTAATCACTACAAGAACACTTATTTTCTTTAAACTTTCTTTTGATTGCACCAACATTTCCTCCACTCTCTCAAAAATCTCTTTCTCCATTTCTCTCATGCTCTCTTTCGATTCCACCAACACCTTCTTCTCAACCTCTACACCTTCTGCCATGATCTTCTGCACCAGTTCTTCAAGTCTCATTGTTTTGTCCTGCAATGCCTCAATTTCTTCTAACAAAGCCTCATCGATCCACTTAAAGGCGTGGTTATCATTCATCAGCTACAAAATAACAGGGAGAATGTTGAATTTTCATTCACTAGCTTCAATAGATTAACTTTTGAATTTACCTTCTTTGATACAGCATAAGCACAACGGTAATAGCGACGGTAAGGATTGTTGTCCGATTTTGACATCAACGCTCTGATTTGCTCTCCACACCAACACTTTTTTGGCACACCAACGACTCTTCCACTAGGCCGCACGCTCGACGATCCACTCGAAGCTCCAGAGACATTGCTCATCCTTACGGAACCTACAAACACAAAATCGAAAATCAATCTTCATCTTCTTCAAAACGACATTCTGATTATCCACATTCTCAGTTAACCAATCAACAAATTATAACCCCAAAAACACAATAATATACTTACCGTCGATTTCCCCCAAATCAATTTCTGAAAATGTTTACATAAGTTGATTTCCCCAATTCGATTTCTCGTTTTAGGGTTCTTCACTTCTCTTTTTTAGATTTTGGATGTTTAGAGTCGGGTATAAATGATGATAGGTTACGGGTCAGATCAGGTTCATATTGGGTCATGGTTAAATCCATTAGCTCGGGTTTTCAGTGGTTTGGTTTCGACTATAATTGGGTTTACATTGGTTCGGTCATAATAAAAGACAATTTCAAAACAATTTAAGACGTATGGGGAAATTAGTTTTCAACTTTTATATCATGTGGAATTGGATCTTTAACTTTAAAATCAGGTGCAATTAGAATGAGGCCTAAAGTCTGTGTGGACACGGTGCTATATGAAAATTACGGGGAGAAATAGATCGTCATCCCATATATATATGACATCTCAAATCATGAATAACATTAGAAAAATGTAAGTAAATATGAAAATTGGGAAAAACGAGAAAAATAATCCGTGAAGAATAAGATTCCTTTTACAAAGCAAAAACATCCAAAGATTTGCGTTGCAACTTTCATCTTTATTTTTGCATCATATTCATCATGGACCAATGTTTTCTTGTGTTTTCTTCAAAAGACCACAAAAAGTTTCTAAAGATATTTTACACTTTTTTGTGTGGCTTTAGGATATTTACTACTTACAAAAAACCAAAAATTCTTATATATCGAAGAATAGTTATAATTTTCTTTGGTTGACTCTTAAAAAATATCCAAGAATGTTATCATTTTTGGTTTTACAAAGTTTTCCTTATATACATAAAAAGGCTACAGCTTTAAAAGACAATTTTCATTGACAATAAAAAAATGTAGATGTGAGAAAAGCGATTATAGGGTTTTTGATTAGCAAGACCTGCATGATCCATCTATTTGTTTTAATAGCTCACTTCATATAGTAATTATAGATACATGGTTTCTCTCTATCCAACCCGTATTACCCAACTCTTTACCGAAATGGATAGTCATACGACGTCTACGTAATGCAGACACATACGCACAATTTACTTATGATATTTGAAAATGGCGTTACCATTGTGCAATATCCAAATTGGATTTGGCGTCATTTATGGCAAATAAGTAGTTGAGACAAGATTGCATTAATGACATAACGTAGGTCTAAAGGCTGTTTTCATTTGTCTTTAATCAGTCACTCTCTATACCTGATATTTTTGCCCTCTTTCAAAAATACTCTTGTCGTATCTAGCGAGAAGAAAAAGAAATGAACAGAACCGTTTATATTACATTTTCTCTCAATCTCATTTTGATAATAGTTAACAAATTAATATTTCAAGGTATGTTGACCAAAGGAGAAAACAAATCACATGATCTAAAAGTCTAACACAAAGATTCAAAATCGATATGTAAAGAAACACAAATTCTACTTAGGGTTTCTGCTTTCTTTTTTCATCCTCGTTTGCTTTTCGTTTTTTGATGTTCACCGACACCGACGCAAGTCTCGAATCAAGTGGTGAAATTCCCATAACTGTCACTGGTGCGTGATTTACACGCGCTTTCATATTAAACTTTTCTCGTTTAATTGCGCTTATGATTATGCTTAATGGCCGTCCGATGATAAGAAATCTAGTCAACATAGTCAAAATGATCAACACGTGGACAATAGTATCTAGTCTGCGAAACATATTTCGTACGCGTCTCTTCGTTGCCAAGCTGGCTCTCTAGCCCAAATCTGGCCCATAATTATTTGTACATCTCCCAAAATTACTAACTTTAATACCCCCCAAAAAATCATTTTATAAGAAAGTGACGACTAATTAACAGTTAGCACTTACCATTAACGAAACTTTCTTAAAATGTCGAAACTACCCCTAATCCGCCATTAACATTAGAGACAAAAAGCCGCTTCTCTCCCTCTCTCACTCACTCAAGTTGACATTAAGACATTCTCAAACACTCTCTTGTCTTCACTCACAACAGAGTAACCTAAAATGTCGTCACTGCGTTTACGTCTGTGTCTATGCCTGTTTCTGCTATTTCCAATCGCGATTAGCAGCGTCACTGACCTCCCCGCGTTCCGAGAAGCTCCGGCGTTTCGAAACGGCCGAGAATGCTTCAAAACGACCTGGTCGCCGGAGGATCGTGCACACAACCCTTCAGCCATCCATATCGCAATGACTCTCGACGCCATTTACCTCCGCGGCTCAGTCGCCGGAGTTTTCTCCGTTCTCCAGCACGCCTCTTGCCCTGAAAACGTCGTTTTCCACTTCATCGCCACTCACCGCCACAGCGCCGATCTCCGCCGCACAATATCCTCCACATTCCCATACCTCACTTTCCAGATTTACCATTTTGACCCTAACCTCGTCCGCAGCAAAATCTCTTCCTCCATTCGCCGTGCCTTAGACCAGCCGCTAAACTACGCGCGGATCTACCTCGCCGATCTCCTCCCATCCGCCGTACGCCGCGTGATCTACTTCGATTCCGATCTCGTCGTAGTCGACGACGTCGCTAAGCTCTGGGGAATCGATCTAGGTCATCACGTCGTCGGAGCTCCGGAGTATTGCCACGCCAATTTCACGAATTACTTCACATCGAGATTCTGGTCGAGCCAAGGTTTCAAATCGGCGTTGAAAGGAAGGAAGGCTTGCTATTTCAACACCGGCGTGATGGTGATCGATCTCGGGAGATGGAGGAAAGGGAGATTCACGGTGAAGCTCGAGACGTGGATGAGGATCCAGAAACGACACCGTATCTACGAGTTGGGATCTTTGCCGCCGTTTTTGCTGGTTTTCGCCGGGGACGTTGAGCCGGTGGAGCACAGGTGGAATCAGCATGGTCTCGGCGGGGATAACCTCGAGGGACTTTGCCGGAATCTGCATCCAGGCCCGGTGAGTCTGTTGCATTGGAGTGGGAAAGGGAAGCCATGGCTAAGGCTTGACTCGAGAAGGCCGTGTCCGTTGGATTCGCTTTGGGCTCCTTACGATCTGTTCCGTTACTCACCGTTGATCTCTGACAGCTGATTGATAGCATCGGACGGTGGAGGAAGACAACCGCGTTTTGCTGACGTGGAAGAAAGCTAAAACGACTTACGGAGCTGTTAAAAGGCTTTGGAGGTTTTACCGATTATCATTTGACAGCCGTAAATAATTCCATGGGTGAAGCCACGTGGCAGATGATCGAAGAGGTGGGGTTTTGATCCGAAGGTGTGCCTGTGCCACGTGACGTGATAAATTCATCTGCCAAGTGGAATATGCAACTCTTTGCTATGTAATGTGAGATACTACTTCGTACTTACGTACGGTACAGATCGATTGTACTGTAAAAAATTGTTACCCAACTCATCGTCACAATAAGCTGTGTCTTTTTCTCCATTCTACTTTAATAATTTGTTGTGCGTTCTTTTTTTTACAATTAACAAATCAAACATGCATAACCCGCATTGACTAGATTTTTTTTTGTAAAACATCTCTTCCCCCCCAAATTAATTGACTTCACCAATCCTACTTTCTGTTCTTAATGTCAATATAAGATAATATGTTGAATTTATTTATTTATATATGTTACAACGAGCCAAATCAAATGTATATACTGTAAGTTGTTGATTTTTTTTGTTCAAAGTTGTTGATTTTATATGTATGACGAAAAGAAAAGAACAACTAAATGTATATGGGCCAATATTATAGGCTTGTACAACATTGGGTTGGATTTTTTTAATTTCAACGGTTGTGAAAGAAGGCTAAGAAATAAGAACGAACCCATGTAAATGCTTTTGTTTTATCTAAGAAGCCCACACTACTCAGCCCACAAATTGTTCGTCTACTTACGTGCTTGTGGGCTTGTTTAATAATTTATTTGTTTGATGTTCTTTATTATATGCAGAGGGTTTCATATAAGATTTGTTTTATTTATCTAAGTTTTTTTTTGACATTTCGAATATTTTATCAAAAATAAGTTCTCTTGCCAATTGCTATACATTTGTCCTCCAACTTTTTCCAAATTGAGGGATAGTAGACCCGAAGAAGATTCTTTTTTGAACTAGAAACGCTTGAAATATAAATTCATTTTTAAGCAAAAAAAAAAATATATATATAAATTCATTCATTCATTTTTTGGAAGATTCTTATTTTATGCATATCAAGAATTTACTTAAAATATAGTATATTTTTTTTTGTTTGATTACCTATTTATTATACTCGAAAAATACATCCTCTCATTTTGTTTAATAATTCGTGCGCCAACCGTAGACCAATCAGTTAGAAATTATTATAGTAATCATCACCTAACGTATTCTTTGATATTAATGAATCATGATACATTCTCACTAAACGAATCTCAACATGCGTGCCACGTCATAGACACTTACAAGAGTCAAAGACATCAACGTTGTTTGTTTTTAATTAGAAGTTTACCAAAACTGAAATGCATAATTAATATTTCTAGAATGTAACGAGTTCTACTTTAAAACTTCGCTTTTAGTCAAATAGGTACGTACCGTGTGCATCCTATTCAAAGAAAAATCGATTATTGATATTAATCAACGAGATAAATCTACTAACTTTTTTATCCGTCTAATCATACGATAATGAAAACTAATAGAATTCTAGAATGAAAAAGCATGTTTTCTTACAAAATCCAAATATTCTTACATCATCACAGCACACCATAAAATTTCAAATTGTGCGTGGAAGGTCTAATGGATTGGCACACTGACGTGGATCCAACATGTATAAATACTACATATTTAAAGAAAAAATTCTGACAAACCCAACTATTCATATCATCCACAAAATTTGACTGTGGTCACAACTAATTAATATAATATCCTTCACTCACTCGTGTTTTGGATATTTACTGATTTAATTTTTATTTTTCTTTTAATGTGAATTTGTAAACCCTATTAATCGAATATTGTTAGACGAGAACCACATAAAAAAATATCAGGTACAAGACTTTTATTCTGAGTGCATCAACTATGAGTTTGAAAACTCTTCTCGGAGTCTCTTATATTTGAAGAATACAATCATTTTTTTTCCAGCCACGCTGAAGTGGCTATCTTAGTTTTCGAAGCTTCTATTCTGAAAAAAAATCACAATTATTAAAACATGTAATTTTTTCTGTTATAACAATTTTCTTTATTCAGAAATAAAAATATCAATTGACGAAATATTAAGAACATCGTTATATTCAAAATAAGAATAAACCATCATTTTTAGTTTCGCTATAACATTGCTTTAATTGTGATAAATGCTACCTCATTAAATCTTTTTATTAAGTATAATTGTTCAATCTGTTACTGGTCAACATCTTTTTCCAAAAATACATACGTCTTCAGACAGTTTTAGTTACAGAAGCAAGAAGTATGGTAGATGCAAAACCAAAATTTGTCTTCTCATTTCTTTGTTTTAAATTAAAAAGTTTTCATTAAAATAAAAGAAAATGTTCGGCCAATTAATTTGCATCTGCCAAAATGGCTTTGTATTTTTTTTGTTTTCCTTTTTCCTCTCGAAAAACGGCCAGGATATATTTATAGATAAATAAATGAAAGGCATCACTGAAAAACTGTATTTATATATCGACAAACATGTGCATAACTATATCTATGTACTAATCAATTTTTTTTTTAATCAAAGCACTAGGATTGTTGTGAGCGTTTGTAAATGAAACCTCGTTTAATGGCTTTAAGCTATGGGTTGTCTGCAAATTACCACCTTAACATCTAGAAGCAATATTTACTATTTAGCACCTCCCAAAAGAAAATTATCTACCATCAATATAACTAATTATATATATACTGAGGTGGAAGGAGACGGCTATTTTCCTCTGTTTAGAAAAATCGGCAAACTAATTAACCAACAAAATAAAACCGGCCACGTGGCATGCATGTGTGCCTTGATACATACCAACAACGGGGACATATAGGGCATATATGTTTTGGGGGGTTTTGTGAAATTGTGGCCATATAAACCATTCAAAATTCAATGATAATAAATTGCAATAACGCAAAAAATACACAAGTGGGTAGTGAAAGAGAAGTGTGTAGGGTCACATTTCTATCTCTCTATTCTTCTATAAAAAGACTCTCTTTCTTTTGTATCATCATCATTTATATTAATTCTCTTACACATATCTCTCAAACCCTAAAGAAAATTTTCGTTTTAGCAAAAGTCTTTAAATCGATATCGAATATGAAGATGGGATCAAGTCAAAGCATGGGAGGTTCAAAGAGAAGGGTATCGAGTAGGGGACTTGGAGCTGTTCTTAAAGAACAAAGAGCTAAGCTTTACATCATTCGAAGATGTGTCGTCATGCTTCTTTGTTGGAACGATTGATTTCTCTTCAGATTCATTCTCTCCATCATTTCTGTCAAGATCATTATGTATAAAGGGTTTTGTGGGTTGGAGTGAGACGCCTCGTGATGTTTAGAGCTTCACCGGATCGGTTTGGATCCGAGTTTGATGCCAGATTGTGGAGGAATCCGTTAACTTGTTTCGATTAGGCCTCTCTATTGGTTAGCAGATTCTTGTTCTTTGGAGCAGACGTGGAAATGCCGATTACTTAGCGGAGTGGAAGGGTAATATTGTAAATATTGACGGTATGAGTTGACAAAATTTTGTAATAGTTTTTGGCTTTGTTCTATGACATTCGAATAGAAATGATTTCGGTTAATGTAAAAAAAAATGGTCGTTCCCGTATTCCTTTAGTCTTTAAAAAAGATATTATACGAATCACACAATATTTTCCTTTGTAAAGATACCATGATGTGTAATCATATGTTCCTCCGGGATGAATTATGACAACTAAGGATATCATATAAAGCAATTATTTTCTCATAAACAAGTTCTCGATAACCAAATCCCTGATTTTTGTCAAACCAACAACTCTCCCTTCCTACGACTCAAAGGCGGCAATAATAATAATTCTTTAAAAAAAATCACAATTTAAAGTTTCTTTATTGCTGTCCCACGCATGGGGATTGGTTAAACTAATCTAATTAATTCCGACACAACAATTTCTATTTTTAATCTAGTTCTTGAGGAACTTTCATAATTTTCAACATGTTCTATGGTGTCCCTCATACTTTTACGCTTTGTGTTGAATCAATACTAGTATCTTGTTAAACTATTGAAGTAAATTAGATACTAGTAATAAGTTAGCATTACTCATAATACATTGGTACTGACTAATGACTACTGAGAGGGATGAGGTTATATATAATTAACTAATTTAAACCCTTGTTACAAGAAAAAGGTATATCTAATTTGCGTGACTATATATATAATCCAAGGGACACACTATTCATTAGTTTGTTTGGCCCCCTATTATTTATCTGACGTTATCATTAGGTGCTAAATTAATGATGATGGAAGAAGACCTGTCACGTCTAAATGTATTATATTATAGAAATAAACTTGATGTCTTCTGTAATCAGCGGTTTAGCGAATTATAAAGGAATTAATGATTTAGTATAACTAACGGTTAGTAGAAAATTAATCTTTCGTTCGTAATATGAAATAATTCTCATTTCACCGCATATGCAAAAATCCACATAAAAGTTCAGCTGCACCAATTTATTTTAGGATCAAGCTTGAAACAGAAATTATATCTTGATTCAGATTATATAAGAGATATCGAAACTCAATATCATATCAGACTAAACCGATGTCATGTCACACATGTCTACTCTAGTCTTTTTCGTAAACCAAATTTAGACCAATTCACAAAACTTCATAAGCTATCAGAACTGAACCAAATTAGCTCATCGTAACTTCTTTTTGACATGCATATGGGGAAAAAAGACTGAGTGATTATATTCGAAATTTAACTGAACTTCATAAACCTTTTAGTCCTTTAGAAATGTACTAAGGGATCAAATTATTAAAGAAGATCAGTACGTTGACTGGTCAAATGAAGACACGGGTAAGACAGGCCACGTGCGGCGGTCCTACCATCGTCGCCGTCGTGACCATCACCACCGGTCTCATCTCTCTTGTCTCTTTCATTTCTTCTCGGGCTACGAATTTTGTGCTACGCCCTCATAAATAAAGATGTAATAATTGAGCCACTCACCTTTCGACCTTATTATGGTTTCCTTTTGTACTTCTTTGTGTTCTTTTTTTCCGGAACTTATTTCTTTTTGTACTTCTTATCAGTTCCTTTTTTTAATACCACATTAAGCTAAACATTATTTCCTAATTGTTTAAAGTCGTTCTCTATTGGTTTAGGGTGAGCAAACAAAAAGCCTGATCTTGTAACTCATTTAGTTAGAGGGCTAAGCTCCACTTCATGGGTTCGATTAAGGCAGATAAAGAAGAATTCATTAGTGTACTCGGAAGAGAGAGAGTGACAAACAATCAAATCTTGTTTATTTTTTCTTTTGATTAAGTTTGTGATGGAAATGAGAAAGGACGAGACAGCTAAAAACCAAAAATCATGGTTGAAACTGAAATCCTTTCCCGATGCCATAAAAAACGAGAACATATATAAAGCTATATTTTATGAGTCTATGGTGGTTGTTGTAATACTTATTATTGACACTGAATAATAAAAGCACAAATAGTATTATTAAGTGAAACAATATGATTATCTTATATATTAGGAGTTTATGTCATCTTATTTCCAATTTGGACTTTCTAAAATGACCATTTAGGTTTGTGCTGGTGTTATTGTTTTGTCACCATCGGAATTCAAATACAAAAAATACATGACTAAGGGAGGATTATTAGCCCAATTCAAATTGTAGGGTTTAATCTTTAAACAAATTCATTGTACCGAAAAATGAACAAGAGATGGCCTACGATGTCTCTCAAATAACAAATCAAACTAGATTTGATTTATAGTGTGTTTGTGTTTGGACTCTTCGTAACGTTTGAGAACTTTCTTGCGACTTTTTAGCTGTTGACATTATTATTTCTTTGCAAGAAAAACTATTCAGACACTGTTCCTCCGGCCAACACACTTATTTTAATTGCGTGTTATTTAGTTGTTACTTTTGTCTTTGTCCACGATTCTAGAACATTTTGGGCTACTTTCAAAGGTGCCTACCCATATTATGTTCTTCTTTCCCATGACATTGCATATGCTTATCTTATCTCAAGTATGCGTATTTATATAATATATGAACGTCTTGTCTATGAGACAAGGAGAGAGCTAGAAAGTACTTGGACAAGTCTAAGTCTAGATGTTGGCATGTTTCTCGTACTTTACTCCGTAGATTGGTATTAATATAATTTCCAACGGTTGCTTCGTGCCACATAATAATTTCATGATGTTTCCTTCTATATAACGTTAATTTTAAAAGAGAGTATATTTAATCAAAATGGCCCATTAGCTCAGTTGGTTAGAGCGTCGTGCTAATAACGCGAAGGTCGCAGGTTCGAAACCTGCATGGGCCAATTATTTTTTTGAAAACTCTTTAATTTGTAATTTAACCACAAAATCGGCCCAACAAGATTTTCCTTTTTTAATCGTCTACATATTCTCTCATTCATGGGCCATTTTTCATACAATGATAGATCGATGAGACTACATAATATTCTTACATATCTCTTCTACCCAAATACAAGAAAGAAAATAAAGAGATATGTTGATGAGCTCACAAAGTCACAGACTCACAATTGATGATGACTTCTTCAACTACTTCTGGTTTCACGTTTGTTGAATTACCAAATTACCCTTTTATTTTTCTTACCTTCTGTTAAGTGCATGGCTTCACCCCAAGAGGAGCTACATGCCTATGAGATTCTGACATTACCATCTCAAATGGTTGACAAAGATTTGGATTCTTCGAAGCTTTAAATCTTCTTCCCATCTTCTCGTAGAACTTTCTAGAGAATCTAAGCTCGCCTGTTAGGTTGTTTCCATTGATGTATAGTGAACCAAGACAAGGTAGAGCCTCAAGCTTTTCTGATGGAACAAAACCGGTTAGATTGTTGTTGTTCAGACCAAGAAACCTTAACCTTTTCAGATTGGTTAGACCAATGGGAATCTCACCTCTCAAGCCTATTTTGGATACATCCAAAATAACCAAACTGCCCATCTTTCCCCACTTTATTCCCATCATGTCTTCATCACTCATTGGATTGTTCGATAACACCAATTCCGTTAAAGATTGGATCTTTTCAATGTTGTTGGACAACCCACCAGAGAATCTGTTGTTCCTCAGATCCAAAAGTGTCAAGTTCTTCAAAAACCCAATTTCTTGAGGTAGATTTCCTTCTATTAGGTTATTGCTTAGATCGAGCTTGAGCAATGAAAACAAATCTCCAACAGATGAAGGCAATGTCCCTGAGAATGAGTTGCGGCTCAAATCCAAGATCAAGAGCTCTTTCAACCCTTTGAAACAATTTGGGATCATTCCCTTGAACGCGTTCCCTGATAAAACCATCCGCTTTAGACTCTTTAAGTTGCAGATACTAGCTGGTAATTCTCCGTTGAACCCATTTTCAAGAACCACTAAAGACTTCAGATTTGTGAGATTGCCAACTGTCTCAGGAAGTTTCCCAATGAGACCGGGATTGGATCTGAACTCGAGCGATTCTAAGCTAGAAGCAAAGTTTATCCAGTCTTCTTTAGCTATCACCATAGGAGAGATAAAGCAGTTGAAGAAGGAGAGAGATTTTAAGTGCTTCAGCTCAAATAACTCTGGCCTTAACTCAAGACTTGAGGAGCAAGCAAGCGAGTTTTCATGAATAAGCCCTAAACTCAAATCCGTGACATACCACAAGTCATTGTAGATATCACAGGAAACACCCTGAAACCAAAACAAACAAAAACGTTTTTTTTTTTAAATTCTTCAAAGTTTGGATTTTTTGAAGAGCACTTAGCTACAAAATAAAGGAATGATTGGTGGGGCCAATGTGCATGTAACTGAAACATTTTAAGAAACCCAAACAAACAGATGTTATATGAAAATAGGATTCACTTTGATGCTTTGAGCTTTAAAATTCACTTTCCGATTATAGAATGTTTTCAAAGGGGACAAAGCATTTTAAAGAATTATTCAGACAGCTAGAAAACAAAAAAATCTTTACACATCATTTCAAAAGCTTTTTAGAAGTTAAAGTTTGATCAACAACATCTAATAAAGTTCAAACGTTTCTACATCATAAGCTCAAGCTCTTCACAATCTTCAAGAGTCTATGTTTTTCTGACAATATTAAGGACTTGGCCGTACATAACAAGGTTTTAATGAGACAGAGAGTTGAAATAAAATTAAAAACCTGAATTGGAGTCCAACCACAAGGATCAGGATAGAGATCAGATCCATTCCAAGAATCACCAACAAATCCTTGAACCGCAGAGTATAAAGCTTCTCGTTCTCTTTTGTCCATTGGAGCTTCTTCATAATCGGTTACTTCAGGCAAAGATTCATCTCCGGTACACCTAGAAAGTAGAGATAGTAAGAGAAGAGAGTAAACCATATGCCACAACATTGTTCCCTTACAGAACAAGAGCAGATGATAACAGGAGAAAGAGAAACAAAGCGTGTGATGTGTTTTGTCCCTTTTCAATTTGGGTTTTGGGTTGGTTCTTGCTATTATTTATTGAGAAGAGAGTGAGAGGTTCGTTTGGAATCAAATTAGCTTTTCCCATTACAATTCAAATGGTTAAAAAGTAAAAGAAGAGAATTTAGAGACATTTTTGGTTACATGTTCCTCTTTTGTCACATAAAGTAAAGGTTTCATTTGTTCCCATAACCACACATATAGAACTCCGAAACATAGATCATATAGACATTTTCGTGTATGTAAATGAGCATGCAGAGAAGCACACAAACCAAAGCGTAATTGCATTTAATGGTCTCTATTGTTGACAAAGATTTTTCATTAATGCTTCTACTTTTCTGAAATGATCCTTTGACATTTATTGGTAATCAATAATATCCTTCTGGATTCTGGCTTTTTATGTTCTGTCAATTCAAAGTACATCATATCATTAAACATATGCCTTCGCTTCTAATTCTCTAACTTCATCCTCCATCGAAAGGGTACTCTATGGATACAAGAAGCTATAAATGGGTTCACCATATAAATGTGAAAGTAACATCTCCTAGATCGTCCACGTGAGGTGGTTACGTCGTGAGAAAAGTCCACAGCTTCTTTCTTATGGATCCTTCACCCGGTCTTGGTGATCCATCATCATCATCATCATCATCATCATCATCATCATCATCATCATCATCACCATCACCATCCTCATCATCATCTTGAACCTCACCTAGTTGTTCATATCCATCCTCATATTCTTCATTCTTATCCTCATTTACTGTTCCCTGCTTCTGATCATCTTCAACAGAGGGACCCCTCGCGATATTAGCTGCTAGTTGCGCATTTTCAACCGAAACACCCACATTGTTATTAGCAGCATCAGCATCTGTAATTGTTTCCACCTGCCATGGAAACAATCAACTTATTAGCATGTTAATTTATGAGAAGGATTTTATTCAATCAAAAGTTATAGATCTTTAAAACATAGAGCATTCATAAAGATAGAGAAAGAGGATATTTTTTTTTACCGTTACAACTCTCTCGACCCTAACTTCCGAACTTTCTAATCTTCTAGCTCGAAGAGATCCCACCACCGATTCACTAGTTTCTTCGACATTGTCCTTCGATGGCGCAAAGGCAGCAATGTCTGCATCATCTTCACCACCAGCTGCTTTATCTTCAACATCCGCTGGAACTTGGTCTACGCTGTTAACTCATAAGATTTTGGGCAGTCCATGAGCAGAATTAAGACACAACAGTGATAGGGAATGTGAATAATAAAGACTACTTCACATAAATTAATACAGGGCCTTATTCTATTCTACGAAAAATCATGTGAAGCCATATAAAGGCCTAAAAACACACTGTCACAAGGTTAAGAAACTTACGTTCTGTTCCCCCTAAGATTGTAGTGTTTTCGGCCAGGGGTCTGCGGCAAGACAGCAACTGTCTGTTGTCTCTTACGACGCCCACCAGTAGCAGTTGTATCCTCAGTATGCTGTCTTTTCCTTCCACCTCTGCCTGTTGTCTTCTCGCTAGTAACGGAAACGTGACCACTCACTTCAGGGCTGGCATACTGGACCGAACTTGTAGGATTCAAAGCAGGCTTGGGCTTTCTAGGCCTGCCACGTCCACGTCCACGTCCACGCCTGGCACTTTGAAGCTCAGATAGCTGAGAACCTTCAGAAGTTTCTTGTACTCGACTGTCTGTATATTCCTCCTCATCCTCCACCGGAATTGAGCTACTAGATGGACGAGGTCGGAGATCAACTGGCAGAGGTTTTTCACCTCTTGTTTCCATAGTAACTGCCACTGAGGAGGATGGATGCTGCTCAGACTTGCCTGTGTCAATCCCATGCTCAGCTCTTTTACTTGGTGAGAAAAGTATTGAAGTGCACTTCTGTAATATCGACATGTTAGGCCTTCTAGATCCCCCGCTCCCAGAGGCATCTCTGTCTAGAGATTTCTTGATATTACATGAGTCAGACGCATCAGAGCTTTCTGGAAGGTCACTCAAAACTCCGTTAGGTGGTAGAATAGCTTCTTCTTCGTTAAATTGTAGTTGGAGATCAGAGAGCACAAACTCATTCGCCAGCTGCCCACAACTCTCACAATCCTTGAGCTTTTGAACAAATGCCAGAAACCGAGCTCTTTCACGGGCAAACTCTTCCCTACGTTTCTTGAGGTTGGTGCTAAGTGTACTAAGTTCACTGATGTCATTATGCATCTCTACTTGCTGATCTTTCAGTTTCTCCTTGTGCTTCGCAATTTCTTCTCTTTCCTTTTGGAGAGCACTCCTTTTGGACACCATTTCTTCCATCTCCCTATTCAAAACCTGCTTCTGGTGATTGATATCACTAAGCTCTTTCCTTCTTTTATCCTCAAACTGAGCCAGTCTGTCTAGTAGATCTTTCTCATCTTGTTCTTTTTTTTTCTGTAGTTCAATTTCAATATTCCTTCTCATCATTTCAAGATCTTCAAGCACCTTAGAATGCTCAAGTTTGGCTTTTTCATGTAAAGCTGAACGCTCATGTTCCGTATTGGCTTCAAATGATTCTCTCTGCTGTCTTATATCATCCAGTTCCTGCTTTACCTGAACCCTCAAAGCACTCTCTTCTTTCTTCAATCGTTCTCCTTCCAGCAGTTGAAACCTCTCAAACTTTGCTTTTTCTTCAGAAATTCTCATTCGCTCTTTATTATATTCTGCCTGCTTCTCATCCAATATTTCCCACTCCTTTTCAAACCTTTCTTTCTCTTGCTTCAGATTTTCAACTTCCTTAGAAAGATACTCCTCGTGGAGTCTCGATTTCTCTAGTTGTGACTTGAGTTCAGATTGCAGTCTCAGGTACTCTTTCCTCTCTTCTTTCTTGATTTCAAGACTTTTGTGTTCTTCTTGAATGACTTCCTCCTTTTTCATCATCTCAGCTCGAATGTTTTCAATCTCTTGTTGTAAATCCTGAAGGCTCTCCTTATCAGAAAGTAACTGTTGCTTTTCCAAACTTAACCTTTTCTCCTCAGCTTGAATGAGTTTTTCTTTTTCTTTAACAGTTTTAACCTTTGCTTCAAGCTCCATCTCCTTTTCATTCACTCGGTCAAACTTCTTATTCAATGCTTGATTTCTTTTCTGCAACTTCTCCTCGCTATGATCAACTTCAATTTTCTGTCGTTCAACTTCTTCTATTTCTCTCTGAAGTTCCTTGTCCAGAGATTTTCTTCTCTCTTCACATTCCAGTTCAAATTCCAGCATCTTAGCAGCTAATGCCTCCTTTTGATCATCAATAAGCTTCTGAATTTCTGTCTGGTAAACAAAATCAAAGTAATGATTTAATAACTGCAATCAGAATCGACGAAATCTATTTATATAATATGAAGGGATAAACGAAACAGGTGTAGCAAGCATATATAGAGAGACTACCAACCCACCCACAAGACTTATGACTATTCAAAACTTCGGAGTTAATTAGATATTGCGGATCCTATGCGAAAGCATTGAGTTATACAGTGTTCCTACAATACGCACTAAATAGAGACTTGATATCACCTATATTATTTATCTATACTGCACAACAATATCCAATAAAGCCTAAGAGGAACTACAGAGGCGAGACCCTTAAAACTTACCCCTTCTCTAGCAATAAGCTTCTCTTCAAGTGCTTGTAACTCCCTCTCCTTTGCCACTAGCATGCTCTGGAGTGTGCAAGATTCCTGGATAAATCCACCACAACAAATTCATATGAGAAAAAAACACGGGTCAAGAGAAGCAATTTTCAATAGGATATATAAACTCACTTTCTCTTTCGCAGTCAATTCTTGTAGTCGCTGATTCATATCCTCTTCCGATTCCTTAAGCTTTGACATAGACAAACTAACCTTTCTATCCAATTCTTCAAGTTCTTTCGCTTTCAGCTTCAGATTTTTTTCTTTTTCATTAAGCTTCTCCTCTCTTTGATTCAGGCCTCTCTTCTGTTCAGGCATCGACTCTTCCTTTTCTTGAAGCTTTTTCTCCCATTCACGAAGGTACTCTCTTTGCTTGTGGAAAATGTCTTCATATGATTCTCGCCTGTGGTGCAATAACATACACGTAAGACTAACAAAAAAAAAATTGAATTTTGCAGTCGTATAGCAAATATCTATATTTACTTACTCTTTAGCAAATGAAAGCCGCTCTTGTTGCAAGACACTTTCACGAGTCTCCACTTCCTTCAATCTCATTTCCAGCTCGGAGCTCTTTCTAGTTGCCTCTGCGAGTTTGCTTTCTGCAGAATAAATCTTGTTTTCCACATCTGAAGATCTCCCGTTAACACTAGCAACCAGAGCATTTGCTTCAGCTAATTTAGCTTCAGAAGTGAGCCTTATCTTGCTATTCTCTTCCTGAATTTCACGAAGAGCCTTTTCAAGCTGCAAACAAAAATAAAATATAAGTATATCTCTAACAAAATCTAGAAGACAAAGGAAGTAAAACGTCTAAGTAATGTAGAAAAAAAAAAAGAATCTAATGTCTGTGGCAGCTTAATAGAAAAGAGGATACCCAAAAATCAATGCAATGATAAATTCTTATATTATAAAGAGCAAACATACAGAAACGAAGACATATATTTGAAGACATCCATGATGTTAAAGGGAAAAGAATGTTACCACTTCCACACATTGCTTTTCCACGTTCAAGGCCTTTCGCAAGTTTTCTTCGCGTTGTTCGACAGTCGTCAACGCGTACAAATGTGACGACTGTTCCCTTTTGAGGATTTCTTGAGCTTCTTGGAATGCCTGATTTAGTTGCTCATGCTTCGAAACCCACTCTTTGTTTTCCATAAGAAGAAGTCCCATATTGTGTTGGTAGCCATATAACTGCACAAGAGGAGATAAAAGAGTCAAAAAACTCATGAGAGCTTCCTCTCTAATTACATATATGGGAGCTTTCTCGCTAATTACATATTTACATTAACAGTTTCCACCCGAATGATCTTCTTGCAACTATAAAATCTCAAAAGCAACAAAAGCAACCCAAACCCATCAAGCAAAGCAATCAATTTACACAGAAAGTTTATAAATTTTTACCTCCTTTTCGAGTGTTGAGATCTTTTCAAGAAGCGCTTCTCGATCTTTCCTATCCATTGACGCCTCGTTCAACAAACCCACTTCCCTAAACCTCCTCCAATCACCCATATCCAATTCATCAGCCTGGCCTCTGGAAAGGCCTTCTCCGGCCAGAGTTCCAATCGGAGGCGGCGGAAGAGACGAAATTACTGGGTCCTCGCTGAACGCAATCGCCTTTCCCTTCCTGTCATTGTTCCTAGGGTTAGAAACACCGCGCGTCTCGCTTCTCGGCGTTATCGCCGGAGGCATCCGCAGTTTTCCCTGTGGCGTGAACATAGTTTCCGAAAAGAATCCACTGAAAGTAAAAAAAAAAAAATTGGAACCCTAATTTCACAGATTGAAGAATCTCTCTCTCTCTTCGATACAACGGGTTTATCGATTTAAAGGTCCGCCCGATTAAAAAATAAAATCAAGTGGAGAAATTGGCAGTCACGGTCGGTGAAGGGATAGAAATGTAAATAACCGCGACGAAGAAGACGGACTAATAAACCGAATCGGTTTAAACTACATACCGGTTTAACCAGCACGGATTAATTCCCTCTAAAACTAATCATAAGTTCTATCGGGCCTTAAACATAAGTACGTAAGTATAATGACCCAAAAAGCCCAATATGATAGTCTCGCCCGTAGTCCCTTTATAATTCAAAGAGTATGAAAATGTCAAAGTGTTTCGAAAGATACTTAGACGACTTGACCGCTGATGTAGGGAGTTGACCGCTGAAAGAAATAAGACTGTAGTAAAGTATTTCGTTAAAACAAAATTACAAATCTAAAACTAAACCGATAGGAATTAAAAAATGAATGATTTGAGTGAAGAAGAACAGATATTAATAAAAAAAAGTTATTGATTCGAAAATAATAAAACAGATTACGAGTATCTAAAAATTTATGAGATGCGTTCCGCTAATAATCTTATGTTAGCGTACTTTAACGGATTAAAACCACTAACCCTTATGTCCCCATATGCATTATTGTCAAAGCGATAGTGACTATTATTAAATATATACGTATGCTCACACATGAGGTGGTGTTTGAATCAAATAATGAGATTAATACTCTAGTAGGTCAGGCGTATGTGCTGTGAATATGCAACTGTATTATTATAAGTGACTACTCACAATCACATGAACATATCGAGATAACTTTTTTTTAACGACTAGTAAAATTTATTAAAAAAGTGTAACATGAAGTTGACCCTAAAGATAGTCCAAACAAAAGTCAAAACAGAGCATATTAAGCGCAAAGTCTTGAAAAACACGATCAAGTTGCAAAATGATTAACGGTAAGTGTATAATTTCTTAATTTTCTAAAAATTACTACCAACTTGTATGCAAAATAACCTAATTATATTTGTCGTCTAGCTCAAGTTCGGCGGCAATGGAGCAAATTCTTTTTTTTGCCAAACTTTTTTATATTCTCAATTGGATTAATCCCCTTTACTGATGATGAACTGGCAATAAAATATTCGGTGGAAATTAATTTTCACATGTGTTGTTGCTAAGAGTGCCAGAAGATAATTTAATCAGGAAATCGAGCCAGATAATCTTCTTCTGTCCCGGGGATCACTGGAAATAAATTATTTGGTTTAATACTAATATACATTAACAATCCCTAACATTAGAATCAATCAATTAAAAACATAATTCATTTTACTGACCACTCTCCAATATATAATTACTTCGCCTCTTCCTCTTTTCCAAGAAGTTCTCAAAAGAACAAATAGTAGTAATCATCCAATCCAACGACTTCGTCTACGGCTCATTCTCATTCGTTCCTCTATTATTATTTGTTCTTCATTATTTTTGACATCATTTTTATTTATTTATGACATCATATTATCTTAATTCTTCTAGGACGTATTGAGTACTTTTCATTTCAGCCAACTATACGGATTTTGTTACAAGGGACAAAGTGACTTTGATTTAGTTTCATCGAAATAAAAAAATCAGATATTTTGCGAATCTCCTTCTTCTTCTTCCTAGGATTTTTAATTTTCCTAGAAAATTACTCAATTTTCTTCTCTTCCATACCAAACAATTTTTCTTTTTCTTTTTGTTGTAATACATAAAATTCGGTCAAGAAATGATACTAGTACGCTGAAAGTCGTCGTTCAAAGTTGGGTTTTTCATAATAAAAAAAAAAAACACTCGTTCCTCCTCCTTGCCGAGTTGCTAAATCAAATGATATAACTACTTCTGAAAATTCGGCATTTCTCTCTCGAATTCTTCATTCAATAGTAGTTCTTAGCACACACAAAGAAAATCTTCATTCTTTCATTATTTTCATTCTTGACCCACCCAATTTTTTTTTTCCTGGGTTTTACGCCATTGTCGAGAGTTTTACAGAGATATTTCAGACTGTGAGAAAAAAAGACAAGAGATATGGCAAGGTGTCGGAGAAGAAGATTACATCTGAGCAATATTTACGCCTTCAAGGGTCGTAAATCGACTTTTCAAGAAGATCATTCACATATAGGAGGACCAGGTTTCTCTCGAGTTGTTTACTGCAACGAGCCTAATTCTCCGGCGGCGGAACGGCGTAACTACGCCGGCAACTATGTCCGGTCAACGAAATACACGCCGGCTTCTTTCATACCCAAATCTCTCTTCGAACAGTTCCGTCGTGTCGCCAATTTCTACTTCCTCGTCACCGGAATGTTGTCGTTGACTTCTCTCTCCCCGTACAGCCCCGTTAGTGCTCTGTTACCTCTCGCCTTCGTCATCGCCGCCAGTATGGTTAAAGAAGCAATCGAGGATTGGGGACGAAAACGACAGGTCTTTGATTTTTCTTTTCTTTTCCAAACTTGTCAAATTTCAGATTCGTCGAATCAAATCCTTAAAATTGTGTGTTTTAATTACTTATATAGGATATAGAAGTGAATAACAGGAAAGTGAAGGTTCATGACGGAAATGGAATATTCCGGTTTGATGAATGGAGGAATCTTAAAGTCGGAGATATAGTGAGAGTCGAAAAAGACGAGTTTTTTCCGGCGGATCTTTTGCTTCTGTCGTCGAGCTACGAAGACTCGATTTGCTACGTAGAGACGATGAATCTCGACGGAGAGACGAATCTGAAAGTGAAACAAGGTTTAGAGGCGACGTCGTCGGCTTTACACGAGGATTCCGATTTCAAGGATTTAAAAGCCGCCGTGAGATGCGAAGACCCAAACGCGGATCTCTATACGTTCGTCGGGACATTACATTTGGAAGAACAGAGACTTCCATTGTCGATTCAACAGCTTCTTCTTCGAGATTCCAAGCTTCGAAACACAGAGTATGTTTACGGAGCTGTTGTCTTCACTGGACACGACACAAAGGTACAAACTTTAACATCTGTTTTCTCACTTTTAAAAATAAACGATCATCTCAAAAGTGTTGAATTTCATTCTGACAAAATTTGAAACAGGTGATTCAAAATTCAACCGACCCTCCGTCGAAGAGAAGTAGAATCGAGAGGAAAATGGACAAAATCATCTACATGATGTTCGGTGTTGTGTTTCTGATGTCGTTCGTTGGCTCCATCGTCTTCGGTATCGAGACAGGAGAAGATATGGAGAGAAACGGACGATGGTACTTAAAACCAGAAGATGCAGAGATCTTCTTCGATCCAGAAAGAGCTCCAATGGCTGCCATTTACCATTTCTTCACAGCGGTCATGCTCTACAGTTACTTCATCCCTATCTCGCTTTACGTTTCCATCGAAATCGTGAAAGTTCTTCAGAGCGTTTTCATCAACAACGACATTAATATGTACTACGAGGAAACGGATAAACCGGCGCACGCAAGAACGTCTAATCTCAACGAAGAGCTCGGGATGGTCGACACGATTCTATCCGATAAAACCGGAACCTTGACCTGCAACTCCATGGAGTTTATCAAGTGTTCGATCGCCGGAACTGCTTACGGACGCGGTATAACCGAAGTTGAAAGATCTATGGCTATGAGAAGCGGCGGTTCGGCTTTGGTTGATGATGATCTAGATGTTGTGGTCGACCGGTCTGGTCCTAAGATCAAAGGGTTTAACTTCGTGGACGAGAGAGTTATGAAAGGGAATTGGGTTAAGCAACGAGAAGCAGCTGTCCTGCAGAAGTTCTTCAGGTTGTTGGCCGTGTGTCACACGGCTATACCCGAAACAGATGAAGCCACCGGGACCGTCTCTTACGAAGCTGAGTCTCCTGACGAAGCTGCGTTTGTCGTCGCGGCACGAGAGCTCGGGTTTGAGTTCTTTAGCCGGACGCAAAACGGGATTTCGTTCCGTGAGTTGGATCTTGCAACAGGGCAGAAAGTTGAAAGGTTCGTTTGAAAACGGACCTCTCTGTTTTAAGATATTAAACAACTCTGTTTTTTTTTTGAGGTCAGGAACTAAAATTCCTCTGTTTTGTTACAGGATGTATCAGTTATTAAACGTTATTGAGTTTAACAGCGCGAGGAAGAGGATGTCTGTGATTGTGCGCGATGACGATGGGAAACTTCTGTTACTGTCCAAAGGAGCTGACAAGTAAGTTCATGGGAGCTTTACATTTTGAGTCTTTCTTTCTTGCTGATATATATTGAACTTTTGGAATCTTGTTTCTGTGCAGTGTGATGTTTGAAAGACTTGCGAAAAACGGGCGTAAATTCGAAGAGAAGACACGAGAACACGTCAACGAATATGCAGATGCAGGGCTAAGGACATTGATACTTGCTTACCGCGAGGTTGATGAGAATGAGTATATAGAATTCACCAAGAAATTCAACGAAGCTAAGAACTCGGTGACAGCGGATCGTGAGAGCTTAATCGATGAAGTCACTGATAAGATGGAACGCGATTTGATTCTCCTTGGTGCTACTGCTGTTGAGGACAAGCTTCAAAATGGGGTATGTCTCTTTAAAAGACTCAAATTTCTTAATGTAGGGTTCGACTTTGGATCGAGTAGGACTAAAAATGGAGTTTTATATGATTTTGTTTTTAGGTTCCAGAATGTATCGACAAGCTTGCTCAAGCTGGAATAAAGATTTGGGTTCTAACAGGAGACAAAATGGAGACTGCAATCAATATCGGGTAAGGAGCTTTTGTTGTTCTCTCATGTTTGGATCTAAACATTGTTCATAGTTTCTGACATTTTTCAGAATCTCTGCAGATTTGCTTGTAGTTTACTTAGACAAGAGATGAAGCAGATCGTTATAAATCTTGAGACACCACATATCAAAGCATTGGAGAAAGCTGGAGAGAAAGATGTGATTGAACAGGTAACAACTTTCTAAATATGTATTTTCAAACAATTTAAACATTATCGTTAAAAAGTTTACTCAGTGAGATTTATAAATATATAGGCATCGAGAGAGAGCGTCGTGAAGCAAATGGAAGAAGGTAAAGCTCTAATCACAGGATCAAGCGGCACAGGCTCTCACGAGGCATTTGCGTTGATCATTGACGGGAAGTCGCTAACGTACGCTCTTGAAGATGACTTCAAGAAAAAGTTTCTTGATTTAGCCACAGCATGTGCCTCTGTTATCTGCTGCAGATCATCACCTAAACAAAAGGCATTGGTAAGGTTTTTTTTTTTTTTTCTTCTTTCTTCTGTGGAAATGGCGGTTGCGGTTTGATTAATAGACTTGTCTTCTTTTTACAGGTTACGCGGTTGGTCAAAACTGGAACAGGGAAGACAACTTTGGGGATTGGAGATGGAGCAAATGATGTTGGAATGCTACAAGAAGCAGATATCGGTGTCGGAATCAGCGGCGTTGAGGGAATGCAAGCGGTTATGTCAAGCGATATAGCCATTGCTCAGTTCCGATACTTAGAGCGTCTCTTGCTCGTCCATGGCCACTGGTGTTACAGTAGAATCTCATCTATGGTGAAGACTTTTTTCCTCCTCTCTTCAATAAACATTTTCCAAATAATTAAACTCTATGCTTCGTCGCATTTTCATTAACCAGGTTCTTTGTTTTGTTTTGGCTCTGGCAGATATGTTACTTCTTCTACAAGAATATCACATTTGGTGTCACCGTGTTCTTATACGAAGCCTACACGTCCTTCTCTGCTCAACCAGCATATAACGACTGGTTTCTATCGCTTTTTAACGTCTTCTTCTCTTCCCTTCCCGTCATTGCTCTTGGAGTTTTCGATCAAGACGTCTCAGCTCGCTTTTGTTACAAGGTATGCAAATATTAACCTCTCATAAACCCTATAGAAAACCCTAAAGTTCCTCTGTATCGCCGATTAAACTTCGTTTATTTTTTCTTGCAGTTCCCATTGCTATACCAAGAAGGAGTTCAGAACCTTCTCTTCAGCTGGAAGAGAATCATCGGATGGATGTTCAACGGACTCATCACGGCGCTCGCCATTTTCTTCTTCTGCAAGGAATCTCTCAAGCACCAACTCTACAACCCTAACGGCAAAACCGCCGGCCGGGAAATATTCGGCGGGACAATGTACACTTGCGTGGTCTGGGTCGTAAATCTCCAGATGGGTTTGGCCATAAGCTATTTCACTTGGGTTCAACACATTGTGATATGGGGCTCAGTCGCTTTCTGGTACATTTTCCTTATGATCTATGGTGCCATCGCTCCTAGCTTCTCCACAGATGCTTACAAAGTCTTCCTGGAAACCCTAGCTCCGGCTCCGTCTTACTGGCTAACCACTCTCTTTGTGATGATCTTCGCTTTGATCCCTTACTTCGTCTTCAAATCGATTCAGATGAGATTCTTCCCCGGTTACCATCAAATGATTCAGTGGATCCGGTACGAGGGTCATTCTAATGATCCTGAATTTGTGGAAATGGTTAGGCAAAGATCCATTCGACCTACAACGGTTGGTTTCACGGCGAGAAGAGCCGCTAGCGTACGGCGATCCGGTAGGTTTCATGATCAGCTCAAGAAGAATTTCATTGCTTTCTGAAGAGAAGAGAAATAGAAGTGTGTCAGTGTTTGTGCATATGTACTTGTGTATAGTCCTTATAGATTTTTTGATTCCTTGATTGAGGAGTCATAAAACGGGGATCGCTTCACTTGTATATGTATGTATATATTTGGTTTGGCTGAATTATTATCATCGATTACTAGTTTTATGTATATAATTTAAACCTATATTTCGACTTTTCATTGGAGAAGTCCACATAATATTAAATATTTTAATGTCACAAGAGAAGTTATATAGTTTGGCAATGATATCTTCACAGAGAGAAATAGAGCAAACCTGTAAATTTAGGTGTGTATAAAGCTATATCTACTTTGCTAACATCCAAAACTTTGTTATAAATGATTTCATATCTACGCGTCTTGATCATCACCAAATAGAAAAAAAGAGAGCAAGAACAAATGACGATTTGTTGCTATTACAGGGTCCTTTTATATCTTGTGATTCGTTTGCTTATGAAGGCATACAAAACGATTCACTTCACTTATAAATATAGGGTAAAATATATCTATATTTTGTATGTATAGAATTGATTTGGTTGATTTTTATTCTTTTTTTTTATTGGATCAAACTGTTGATTTATATTCTTTTTCCGTTTTTTGTAATTCTATACAGGCTTTTATTGAAATTTTGTCCATTTCACATAGTCACCAAGACAATAGGCAGATACCAACATTATAGTATCATTTACTATAAACTAATACATTGAACTACAACATTTGAAATGTACATATTCTAATATTTGCGATAGAATGTCATCAAAACTTTTTTATTTTTGCTCAAGAACTGTCTTCAAAACACTTATATATGTCATTACTATGTTTGGAACTATTCTTCCTTTTTTCCTTTTTTTCGTTCAACATTCTTCCTTTATTTTATCTTAAAAATATTCACAAGACAGTCAAAGTCATTCGCTCAATACAATATTCGACTAAAAACTAGACAGTTAAACCGACCAATATTCGAAAATATATTGGAAGAAAACTGACATAAAGTTTTCATTGGTTACTCATAGTTTGTTTTTACATATTAAAGTTTATGTTTGGTCTCTCCTTCATTCTTATGTAGTTCGAAGTTGACATGCATGTTTTTGTTGCAGACTGACAGTGGCATACTGGCACATGCATTATAGAACTAACGTCGGTTAATTAACTCTGAATTCTTGATTTCATTTTTCATTTTTTGTTGTAATTTTTTTTATAAATTAAACTTGTAACGAATATATGATGACATCATGTGACCCTCTTTTATCTTTTGTAATTTTTAATCTTCTAGTTATCCTAGTAAAATATGAAATATGTGATAGCAATATCGTTATTCCCCGCTGAGATTAAATAAACGGTATTTGATATACATAATTTCGTTGGTTCCAACCTTAGACTATTTATACATTTGATATCAATTTAAAGTCACTCCGTTTACTATCGTTAACAAAAATTTCACTATTTACAATAATTGTCATGTTCAAAAACTATATTTTCACTATTTGCAGTTCTATATCTGAAAATTTAAATTACATTTTTGATTTCACTTTTTCTTTAAAACCATTCATCAAATTTAAAATATTCAATATATATTAAAATATATATATAAAAATGTGGAAAATGCGACTTTGTTTACCTTAGCCATTATTGTATAAGCTTTAAAATCACAATTGCGCAAACATTGTTCATTTTACATCTCTTCAACAGTCTCTTTCTTACATTTGCCTTTCATTGTTTACCTTCTCTCTATACATCATATCTTTCTTTTTTTAGAGATCACAAAGAGAAAAAAAAACTGACTACATGGAATGATGAGATGATCCAGAAATACCAGCACGCTGCGCTAAAGTAAGGAGGTGAACACATGGTCAAGCTGATTGCAGAAGAGCCGTTGGAGAGGTTGAAGTTCAACGTGAAGTTAAAGAAGTTAAGAAACTGAAGAACTCCACAAAGAGGAAGAAGGAGTGGAGCAAAGCCAAAGGGAAGATCAAGAAATGAGCAGAGTGGAAGAAGGTGGGTTTTCTTAAAAAAAAATTAATATGTTATTTCATTATGGTCGTATGTAAGAAAGATTCAAAAAGTGAAAGTGGTTTATGATTTCTAATTCTATGGTGTGTAATATGCTTGAAGAACTTTAACAATCATATTCTATGGTGTGTAATATGGCTTGAAGAACATATTTTAAAAATCATATATACTGTTATATAAACAGAGTAAAGAACAGAGGAACAAGGAGTCACCACCAGTTCACCACTGCCAAAGATCGAAACAAAATGACAACTGCAAATACCCAAATTATACTCAACTATACATTTTTCTTGGAATCGGCTTCTCTTCTATCCTTTGCTATTCAAAATTTCCCTCTAGGGTTCTCCCACTGGATCTACGTTTCCCAAAGTTGCGATGGCCTTTTCTGCGTCCATTCTGCGAAAACACCATGTATGTAGTCAATCCGGCTACACGGTGGCTCCGACAATTCTCTCCGGCTAGATTTCAGATTTTGATGCACAAGTCTGTCTACACGTCCAAACCCAAATATTTAAATTTAAGAAAACGAAATCTACACACAACAAAATGTTACACACTAAATATTTATGGATATATTTACGAGTGAAGCGAACGCTTTTTGGTGCCTTCTCAAGCAAGGAATCACCATTTATATATTTCGCTTTACGTCTCTATCGAAATCGTTAAAGATTCTTCAGAGCATTTTCATCAACAACGACACTAATGTGTACTACGAGGAAACAGAATCAATACACTCCCAACGGATTTCCCATTTCCCAACACCATGCATGATTCCTACGAATTCTCACCGATTCAAATTATAAATTTACAGTTATAAAAATTAAACAGATTGAATAGCAGAAAATTATAGTATTAAAATGAAATACTCTTAGGCTCACTCACATCAAATTTTCCTCATTCACACGCAACTGCATGAGATCATGAAACACATCAAATTCTGATTTAGAGCCACACAATAGTTAACTTCTATATTAGAATTGTATCTATGAAAAAGCAGCCAAGAACGACATCGACACTTCGCAGGTATCAAGAGTAAAAAGAAATATCAACATACATGAACACAGTGACAAGATTCTGTTGTAAGCAAAAAAAAACTAAAAGAGTTCCTTTTTTTTTTTTTTTTTTTTATGTTTTTGTGAGAACGGGCCTTCATATTTGAAAGCAGAATAAAGAAAAGTTTTACAAGCCTGCTAAAGTTTTGTGGGCTTCAGCCAGTATAAAAGCAACAATTATATTAAGGCCCAAGCCCAACCAAAATGGTATTGCCTAATTGCTGCCACTCTATGTGCATCAAATGCTACCCAAGTCAAATAATTCTTTGTCAAATAAAGAAAAAAGTAACTTTATTTTTGTTTTGATTATCAAGTAGTCTTGCATACAATTTTAAGTTTAGTTTCGATTCAAATAGTTTCATAATATTTCCAATCGGTTTTTGTTTTCCACCTCTACTTTTTCCAACCATAGAATAAATTTGGGGTTTATTCTTGGTTTACTTGAGCAAAACATGTTTTATTAGTGAGGCAAAGTACACGCGTTCTTCCACTTTGGTCTTTTTGTCTATATTCGCTTCAAGTATTTATTCCAAAAGCTGTTACAATTAGATGAAACTGGTTCATAGTAACTTTGCTTCACTATTACTGATCTTGCTTCGGTGGATTGATCTTTCTTGCTCATGTCTGGTTCCTCGCTACTTCAACCTCTTTCATGTTCTTGTCTACAAGGTTAGTTCTCAAAGTGTCTTCCTTTATTAGCGCTTACAATGTTCTGACCAGAAGCTTTATAGTTTTCTGAAATTTCTCATTTTTGTTGCCATTTGTTGTCATATTTGCTTGTACAGGTTCATTCTGATGGACAACCTAAGCTTACCACGCACGGAAGGAAAGCAACTATCAGTGAGTTCTATGGTAAGCAAACCCATAACCTTTGCTTGGTAAATGTTATAATGTTCATGTCTTTAACTGAAGCTTGTTGTGGAGATAGCCATTCTCTTTAAAAGGTTTCTTTGTGTTTACAACTTTGGTCTTAACGTCTTGTGTTTTGAAGGTGTGATACTACCATCGCTTCAGCTACTACGCAGCAACATAGACGAGCTGGAAACAGCAGACATCGGGTTCGACCTTAAAAGATTCAGCAAGAAGATAACAAAAGAGGCTCGCAGTAGCAGATTCAGCAATGCAGGGTTAGAGCGCGAGGAAGAATGCGGAATCTGTTTAGAAACTTGCACCAAAATGGTGTTGCCGAATTGCTGCCACTCTATGTGCATCAAATGCTACCGCAATTGGTAAAAACACGCACACACATAGAAACACAACAGTTTCTTGAAGACGTTTTAAGTGATGTAAGATTTTACTAAAATCTCTCACACATGTGCAGGAACTTGAAGTCTCAGTCTTGCCCGTTTTATCGAGGAAGCATGAAGAGAGTGAACTGAGAGGAAGCACCAACTATTTGAAACCAAATGAAGACTAAATATGTAAGTGGATTCAAATAGTTGGTAAATGCATTTGGTTTTGTGTACGTAGACAAACTAGCACAAGGCCGGCCCTGACGTAAAGCCCATGAAACTGGTACTTTAGAGGCCTAAATATATAGGAAACATTAGGACTCATATTTCCAAAATTATTTGTAGTCTGGTGGTTGTATCACAGCTTATTTGTGTGAAGGTAAGAAGTTCGAATCCCAAATTCTCACAAAAATTGTTACATTACAATTAAACTAAAATTTTAAATGAGCTCAATTTTTTTTTTCTTTTGCTTTAGGCAGCAAAATTGGTTTGGGCCGGCACTGCTTTTATGTTATTAATTCTTTGTTCATTTCGTAAGTTAACATTGTTCCATTTCGAATTTTCATACACACAAACTGCTCTTCCTTTTGCTACTGTTCTTCTAATTATAATCATAATCACAACATATCTCTCTACAGATGAAAAGCTGTGATTTCGTATACACAAATAATAATGGTTAAATCATATAAAAAATACAAGTATCTTTAAGGTTCGATGGATAATGATAAGTTATAACCAATTACAAAAATCAAAGAAACTCCAATGGAAGAATTTCTCAGTTTCTTGCATGCTTCCAAGCACATCAAAGATAAGTAAGCTTTTAGACACAAGAGATCAAACTTTGAAAATAAGTAACTTTTCTCTTACAAAGATGCAGGAAAACGGATTCTAGAGATTTTGTTAGGGGATCGTATTTTACCAGACCTCGGGAACAGCGATGTGAGAGCAAAAACTTCTTGTCCTTGCATACCGCCACCGGTGTCGATGGCTCAACCAAACCCTTCTCGCTCCAGTCAAATCCATCGCGAAACACAGTCCGGGAAGAAGAACAAGAAAGCAAATCTATGGTCAAAATCTTTTCCCATGTCTTCTGACGGTTCCAACCTCCAAATATATTGGATCACCGTATCGTGCTCCCTTCTCGACATACACAAACTATCATCCAGGGTGCACATGTCAATATGGCGAGGATCTGAACCAGCAATAGCCGGATTAATCTTAGGCAGCAATCGGAATGTTTCGGCCTGAATATCAAAAGCCACAACTTGGATTCTGGCATCATATGGTTCGGTGAACCAATAAACCGACCCGTTTGCATAGGCTGGCTTCTGGTCATGAAAGATACGGTAACTTGGAGTGCAAGCCAAGTACCTCCAAGCGTTTGCCCTAAAGTCAAAAACCTCGCACTTGGTAACTCCCTCGTTTGGACTCGAGTCATCCGCGTTGTACTTATCAGAGTTATACAACCACACTAATTTGTAATCAGTGGCCTTCACGAATGCGAGATGAAAGACTGAGTTCATTTCTCCCCAATCTGTATCAGTGGGTCCAAACTTGCGCATCAAAATCTGAAACCTAGCCGGAGGGAGTTGTCGGAGCCACCGTATAGCCGGATTCACTACATATATGGACTGTGTTACCGCAGAATGGATGCAGAAAAGGCCATCGCAGCTTTCAGAAACGTGAGTCCAGTAGTAGAACCCTTGAGGGAAATTTAGAAGAGTAAAGGATACAAGAGAAGCCGATTCCAAGCCAAATGTCCTAAAACTAATAAGAATACATACACTTAATAACATTTATTATTTTGATTAATGAAATCTAAAGGGTTCTTTTCATAAAAGATTTGTTGTATATGTTTTATGATTCTTTAGTAATTAAGTTGAATTAAGATTAGTTCTGTATATAAGTGTATGTATCTTATTAATAACATGTAATTATTATTTTGATTAATGAAATCTAATGGGTCCTTTTCATATAAAAAAAAAACTCTCGAAATCAATGCTCACGGCAGTAAATATCATTCGAAACAGATTTATATTGAAAATAAAAGGAATTAAATCAATTTCTATAACCTACATTATTTTTTTCCAAAATAATATATGCTCACCGTGGTAAATTTGTATTTGTGCATGTATCTTTAGAGTAATAACTCAATCAACCGACGTAATGATTCACAGATCCAAACTGTGCAAAAGGCTCTCCAAGAAGATTATGCTCGCCACTAGTCAATGTGAAAGTAGAGTTTCATATCTTTCTTAAAAAAGTTTCAAAAAATCATTCTAGATGCCTCTCTATTCAAAAGATCGAAAGCTAATCCAGAGCTCAATTTGGAACATATTAGGTTTCTTGCAGTTTGGTTAGTTATTCATCATCCCAAAATACAATGTTGTTAATTTTGGCATTTCATAAGTTTAGATTGTTCCATTTCAAATTTTCATACACACAAACTGCTAGTCACCATCTTCTTCTTTTTGCTACTGTTCTTCTCTAATTATAATCATAATCACAACATATCTCTCTACAGATGGAAAGTAGTGATTTCGTATAGACAACTAATGGTTTTTTTTTTTTTTTTTTTTTTTGGTCAAAGACAACTAATGGTTAACCATATAAAATACATACAATCTTTAAGTTTTTTTTTTACAATCTTTAGGTTCGATGGATAATAAGTTATAACCAATTATTTACAAAACAAAAATAAAAGAAACCCAAACGGAAGAATTGCTCTGTTTCTTGCATGCACACATCAAAGGTTGTGGGTAAGTAAGCTTTTATTAGACACAAGAGATCAAACTTTGAAAATAAACAACTTTTCTCTTAGAAAATGGATTCCGGAAAAAGAATTCTAGAGACTTTGTTAGGGGATCGTATTTTACCAGACCCCGGGAATAGCGATGTGAGAGCAGGATCTTCTTGTTCTTGCATATCGCCACCGGTGTCGATGGCTCAACCAAATCTTTGGCGCTCCAGTTGAACATATCACGAATCTCGGTCCGAGAAGAAGAACAAGAAAGCAAATCTATGGTCAAAATCTTCTCCCATGTGTCTTCTGATGGTTTCAACCTCCAAATATCTTGGATCATCGTATCGTGTTCCCTTCTCGACATACATAAACGATTATCCAGAGCGCACATGTCAATATGGTGAGGATCTGAACCAGCAATAGCCGGGATAATCTTAGGCAGCAATCGGAATGTCTCGGCCTGAATATCAAAAGCCACTACTTCGATTCTGCCATCATAGGGTTCCGTGAACCAATAAACTGACCCGTTTGCATAGGCTGGCTTCTGGTCATGAAAGATACGGTAACTTGGATTGCAAGCCAAGTACCTCCAAGCGTTTGCCCTAAAGTCAAAAACCTCGCACTTGGTAACTCCCTCGTTTGGACTCGAGTCATCCGCGTTGTACTTATCAGAGTTATACAACCACACTAATTTGTAATCAGTGGCCTTCACGAATGCGAGATGAAAGACTGAGTTCATTTCTCCCCAATCTGTATCAGTGGGTCCAAACTTGTGCATCAAAATCTGAAACCTAGCCGGAGGGAGTTGTCGGAGCCACCGTGTAGCCGGATTGACTACATACATGGACTGTGTCATCGCAGAATGGATGCAGAAAAGGCCATCACAGCTTTCAGAAACGTGAGTCCAATAGGAGAATCCTATAGGGAAATTGATAAGAGTAAAGGATACAAGAGAAGCCGATTCCAAGCAAAATGTCCTAAAACCAATGTTGGTATCTGGACGAGGAATCCCAGCCCCAGGCACAATCCCTTTGAGGGGATCTTCTGCGCTGACAACCATGACTTTGGGATGATCCATGCGGGACCGCTCAGCGATCTTCAAGTGCCTCTCTGTGAAAGAGCGAGACTCGATCGTCGATCTCCATTGTCTTGAGAGAGACTTCAGTCGGATTAAGGCTTTCACGGGAAGTCGCAAGAAGATTTCCTCCACGACGTCCTTCGGTAGTGATGATGGTGCAATCACTCGCTTCTCGTTTCTTCTTATTCTTCTTCTTATTCTTCTTCTCTCCCTCTTTCTTTGTGATGATGAAGCAATCACCACCCGTTTCTCTGCCTCCATCGTTGATGATAACTGTGCTCAGCCCTGCTGCTAATTATTTTTGTAAAAATCGTTTATCTAAATCACCATATATCATATAGCTCATAATCTTTCAAAAATAATGTTAAGATTTATGAAATAAAAGTTAACATTTATGAATATTTACAAAGATGCAGAGATATTATGGAAAGATATTCTAGAGATTTGTATATCTTTTATGATTCTTTCGTAATTAAGTTAAATTAACATGTTGTCAAAAAAAAAGTTAAATTAACATTATTAGTTCTGTACGTATACGTATCTTAACATTTTATTATTATTTTGATAAATGAAATACTGTATAAAAGGTTCTTTTAATAAATAAAAAATCTCTCATAATTAATGTAAATATCATTCAAAATAGAGATTTATATTTCCAAAAACAAAATCAATTTCTATAACATACATTAAACTTTTTAAAATAATATATGCTCACCGTGGTAAATTTGTATTTGTGCATGTATCTGTCGGAAGCTATAATTTCCTTTTTTTGGGAGGTCTCTTAATGTTAAATGAAAGCGGTAAATTATTAAATTCGGTTTGGCCGTTTTGTGAAACGGCTAAAAGTAACCGAATGAAACTACGGTTCGGGTAGGTTCTCGGATATTCGGGTAGTATATTATTGGGTCGAAAGTAACCGAATTTATGAACATGTGTTTGAAATATCCAAAATTTTCATACAAATTCGGCGGATAGCTCCGGATAAATTGGGTTCTTCGGGTAAATCGGTTACTTTGGTTTATTTGGTTATGTTATGTTAAAAAAAAATTGAATTAAAGAACATCAACTACGTACCGAACTGAAGCAAACGACAATATCCATAAGAAAATTGATACAAATCCATGTCATCAAGACAAGAACATACAGAATCGGCCAATCACTCGAATCTAAATCTATTTTCACTTGGCCAATTTCAGGTTTCAAAATCACATCTAACAAACCCCAATCAATAAACACAACACAAATGCAAAACTCAGGATCTAAGTTCATCAATATGACAAAACATGTATGAATCTAGTATCTACGGTCAACTGTTGAAGAACAAATAAGGCTTTAGCATCGAAACTAACCGTTCCTTTTGCGATCGGAGAAGACTAGGTCGAGCTTCAGAGACAACGTATAGCTTTGAGAGGAGGAGATTCACAGTGGGCACGAGCTGAATGAGCTTTGAGAGAAGAAGATTTGGGTCGGAATGAATTCGAATTAATAATAAAAAGACTAAAAAATATATATATCTCACTTTCTGAAAAAGAAAAGGAAACAGATATATTTACGACTAGCAACTTTATTCATATGAACAAGGTATAGCACAAGTTTATTTCTTGATTGCATTTTGATAACTCCTCAAGGCGTACCGATATGACCATTTCATATCACTAGCCTTGTGGTACTCTCTTTTAATTTATACAATAATATGCATGATAAAGAATTTAACATGAGATGAAGCAGATCGTTATAAATCTTGAGACACCACATATCAAAGCATTGGAGAAAGCTGGAGAGAAAGATGTGATTGAACAGGTAAGAACTTTCTACATATGTATTTTCAAACAGTTTAAACATTTTCTAAACAGTTTACTCAATGAGATTTTATGTAATCTAGTCACCATCCCTGCGATCACAGTAGCCTCTAGCAAAATCTCCAAACTTATACCCAATTATCAACATTTGAGACTAGAGTTTTTTTTTACCAACTTTGCATGGTCCAATACTCGTCCAGCATCACATATTCTGCTCAACTGTATATCGAACAAAACCATTTTAGTATGATATTAACACTATAATCATCTAGGAGAAACTAATACATTGAACTACAACATTTGAAACGTATATACTCCAATATTTGCTATAGAATGTCTTCAAAACTTTTTTTACTTTTGCTCAAGAACTGTCTTCAAAACACTTATATATATCATTACTTTGTTTGAAACTATTCTTCCTTTTATCTGTTCGAACATTTTTTCTTTATTTTCTCTTAAAAAAATTTATAAAACAGTTAAAATCGTTCGCTCAACACAATGTTCGACTAGAAATTAGACAGTTAAACCGACCAATATTCAAAAATCTATTGGAAGAAATCCGACATAAAGTTTTTATTGACTCCTCATAGTTTTTCTTACATATTAAAGTTTATGTTTGGCTGTTCTTTAATCTTATATTTTATTAATTACTCTATGTTTGATTTTACGGATTAGAGCTTCTGTTTGGGTTCTCTTTTGTTTTTGAAGAACCTTATATTATAGTGGATGCATAAAGTTTATGTTTAGTATTTCCTTCGTTCTAGCAATTTTACTTCAATTCATTTAGAAATTCAAGATAAGGAAAGAAAAATGTATGGTTGGAAATGAATAAGACATTACACCATGGTAGAAAAGATGTTTATATGGTTTAGGAAAGTGTTACGACTGATCAAAATTTAACGAGTAAAAGTTGGGCAAATTCTATCTTAAAAACATCTTCTTTTTTTTTTTGGTTTAAGTGGACCAATTAACTTGAACTTGTTTATGAGTAAGGAAGAACTCACTTGGACTTGCTGGTCTTTCCCTTTGCGTTAGTCCAGTTCAATTTTCTATAAGTTTTTTTCATGGTATTTCATTGGGAATTATATTATGTAATAAACATGGCATGGAGAAGAAGGAAGGTTTGGGTTAGCAAAGATGGATTTGGCCAACAACGGTGGTTTGAACACATGGTCAAGCTGATTGCAGAGCAATTTGGCGTTGGAGAGGCTGAAGTTTAGCGTGAGGCCAGAAAGCTGAAGAACTCCACCAAAAGGAAGGAGTGGGGGAAAGCCAAGAGCAAGTGCTCCTGGACTAACTTAATCATATGGAACTGGAGCAGGACCACCATTAATTCTCTGTACCAAATCATAATTTGATATATTGATAACATACGATTGTAATTAAATACAAAAATATCTTAAGTTAGATGGATTATTTACAACCAATTCTTTGGAGAAAAACAGTAATAGAAATGCTCTGTTTCTTTCGCGCTTCCAAACACATTAATTAGTGATCGTATTTGTAAATATTACTTTTCTTATGTGTTACCATGTGCATATGCAATGAATAAGTTTCCTTTTATGAGGTAATAACACAATGAATTCGTTGTATTAATCAATTTTTGTGAGAACGGGCCTTCATATTTAAAAGCAGAAGAAAGAAAAGTTTTCAAGCCTGCTAGAGTTTTGTGGGCTTCAGCCAGTATAAAAGCAACAATTAAATGAAGGCCCAAGCCCAACCAAAATGGTGTTGTCATCAAATGCTACCCAAGTTCACTCAAGTAATGTATTTGCACGACCCAAGTTCGAATTTAAGTCAAATAATTCTTTGTCAAATAAAGAAAAAAGTAACTTTATTTTTGTTTTGATTATCAAGTAGGCTTGCATACAATTTTAAGTTTAGTTTCGATTCAAATAGTTTCATTTTACTTCCAATTGGTTTCGATTCAAAAAGAAGAATAAATTTGGGGTTATTCTTGGTTTACTTGAGCAAAACATGTTTTATTAGTGAGGCAAAGTACACGCGTTCTTCCACTTTGGTCTTTTTGTCTATATTCGCTTTAAGTATTTATTCCAAAAGCTGTTACAATTAGATGAAAGGGACCTATTTAATTATATTCAGATACATAAAACCATCTCAGCTCAAAGTTTAATAACTAAGCTTATTTAACAAGAAACACACTTAATTAACTTTCTTATTTAAGAAACGAATTTTTCTTCAACATGATTATTAAAATACAGTAAAGCAGCTAACCGTGAACAAAAGAATCAAAAAGGCAAAAGAAAAAGCAGAGAGAGAGAGAAAGAAGAAGTGAGACTTGTGTTCTTCCGGTGTTTAGCTTCTTTCTTTGGCTTTTTGTCTTTTAGGTTCTTGCCTTTTTCCGATCAATCAGACCAATCCCTCACTTTTGGCATCTTCGTCTTTCATCTTATTCTCTCTTTCGTTGTCGAATTTTTCGTTCTTTATATTTCTGGGCAATTTTTCAATCAATTCCTTGTTGCGATCAAAGAGAGAGAGGGAGAGAGATGTATAATCAGTTGGCAATATCTTCTTCATCATCATCATCTTCTTCTTCTTCTTACTATGAATCTTTGAAGATTTTGGAAGCTGATGTTCAACACGCAAATACTTTGTAAGTCCTTTTCTGGGTTTTGTCTCCTTTCTCCTAAAGTTTAAGACTTTAGTCGTTATTAGTTTTGATTAGTTGAGCTATAAAGTAGGTGAATATCGAAAACCCAGCTGATAATTTTGGGTCATTTTCTGGGATTTAAGTCATCTCTTCTCGTCAAAATTGGGTTATTATAGGAAACCAATTATACTATAGCTATTTGAAGATTAGAGCATTCACGATTGGAAATTTCTTTAAAGTTGTTGTCGGCTTAATATTCTAATTTCAGCAAAGTTACAAGCTTTTTATGGCTCAGGGTTCGTTGATTTACTGTTTTTTCGTTATTGCACATGTTATGTTCGCCGAATTGTCTATCAGAAACTTGAGCTTATCTCTTCAGGGCAGAAGCAATTCCAATGGGAAAGAACAATGTGCGGCTTCAGATGAAACTGGTTCATAGTAACTTTGCTTCTCTGTTACTGATCTTGCTTCGGTGGATTGATCTTTCTTGCTCATGTCTGGTTCCTCGCTACTTCAACCTCTTTCATGTTCTTGTCTACAAGGTTAGTTCTCAAAGTGTCTTCCTTTATTAGCGCTTACAATGTTCTGACCAGAAGCTTTATAGTTTTCTGAAATTTCTCATTTTTTGTTGCCATTTGTTGTCATATTTGCTTCTACAGGTGCATTCTGATGGACAACCTAAGCTTACCACGCACGGAAGGAAAGCAACTATCAGTGAGTTCTATGGTAAGCAAACCCATAACCTTTGCTTGGTAAATGTTATAATGTTCATGTCTTTAACTTAAGCTTGCTGTGGAAATAGCCATTCTCTTTAATAGGTCTCTTTGTGTTTTACAACTTTGGTCTTAACGTCTTGTGTTTTGAAGGCGTGATACTACCATCGCTTCAGCTACTACACAGCAACATAGACGAGCTGGAAACAGCAGACATGGGGTTCGACCTTAAAAGACTCAGCAAGAAGATAACAAAAGAGGCTCGCAGTAGCAGCAGATTCAGCAATGCAGGGTTAGAGCGTGAGGAAGAATGCGGAATCTGTTTAGAAACTTGCACCAAAATGGTGTTGCCGAATTGCTGCCACTCTATGTGCATCAAATGCTACCGTAATTGGTAAACAACACACACACACATAGAAACACAACAGTTTCTTGAAGACGTTTTAAGTGATGTAAAGATTTTACTAAAATCTCTCACATGTGCAGGAACTTGAAGTCTCAGTCTTGCCCGTTTTGTCGGGGAAGCATGAAGAGAGTGAACTCAGAGGATTTGTGGGTGCTTGCCGGTGATAGCGACGTGGTGGATGCAAAGACGGCTTCAAGGGAAGATCTGTTCAGATTCTACCTCTACATCAATAGCCTTCCCAAGGATTATCCAGAAGCTCTCTTCTTGGTTTACTACGAGTACTCAAATCTTATTTAGAAGAAGAATCTGGACAAACAACAACTTTGTACAGATTTTTAGAAGGCAAAAAAAAAAAAATATGTATTTGTATAGAATGTAATAACTGTGTTTATGCTTTTGGGATGCTTTGATGCAGAAATGCCAAAGCTCTCAGCTTTTACATGCTTTTATAACTGTGAAATGCTACAAAAAAAAGCTTGTTTACAGCAAATAAGAAATATCTCTTTCATCTTCTTCCTCTTACACATAATTACAATCGACCACTTCCGCTTTTCACCACCATCAGTCTTCTAGGTTGTAATGGGCCTATCGATATATCAACTGTTATAGTGGGCTTTATTTTAGATGGGCCCACAAATGAGATGTTGCGTCTTAATCGATTGAGGCGAAATTGGACGAATCTTCTCTTGTTCTTCTTCTCTCCGCCACTTTTCTCTGAATCGGAGCTTGTTCTTCAGTTCCGTCACCTAGAGTTTTCGTATTTGTTCTTGAAGCTTATCTTGATCAGAAACAGAAGGAAGAGAGAAACTTTGAAATCTAATTTTGGCTTTTAAGATTGAGACAAGAGAGAGAGATGGATGATGAATCGGTGAAGCTCAGTAAAGAAGATGACGAATATGTTCTCATTGATCTTGACGACGTTGCGAGGCACATTGACATTCCATCCGACGCTCCATATAAATTATCAGTTAATCCAATCCTCTAATTTATTTTTTCTTTTGTGTGATTGGATTTTACGCTCTTGTATTTATTATGTTCTATGTTTGGCTTTGTTTCTTTCTCAGGGTTTGGATACTTTGAATCCAATATTGACCATTGATGGGAAGATCAAGCTGGTAAGTCTAAGTTGCAACCAAAGTTCAGTTACTACTGAACATTATTAAATCGTTTGAGATTTGATCTCTCTTTTGTTTTGTGAAGACTGGAGAATATATAGAGACAATTGGTACATGCCTTGCTTTCTCTGAAAAGGGTTAGTTTCACTTTTCACTGCTTTTGATCCCAAACACGAAACATCTTATTGTTACAACCTCGTTGCTCGGAAGAAACATGTATTGATAATTCGATCCAAATTTCTGTTTTTGCAGAAGTTTCAGCGGGTGAAAACCAGACGCCGCAGAAGATAGTCGAACCTGTTGCCAAACTCCACAAGATTCTTAAGTTTAGGTTAGCAGCATTCGACAACGACGATGGAGAAACAAAGACAACAACAACTTCATAGAAAAAGATTGTAGATAAGCAAGCCGGTCTCGTTTTCCATCAAGAAGAATTAATATGGCCCGAGCATATGTCATCTGGTGTTTTTTCAGACAAATGTTACAGACAGCAAATTTATGTTCTAGAAGCTTATGATTACACAAAAACCTCTGTGTCAGGGTGTATGCAGTAACAAATGGAAGAAGAACCCTTTAATAAAAACAAAAACATAGTTTACAAATATATATGCGCGTCTCCAAAAGACAAATTATCAGCAAACAAGGTATATAGATAAAAACAGTGTATCAAATCTTTGATGATATAAAGTAGAATTAAAGTAGCAGGGATCGTAACTTAAAGCAGTATAGTTTAGATGCAGCAAGAGAAGACACGAAGAACATGAGAGAGGTTCTTTCTCAGTCTCCTCGTCTTCTCTTCCCATAGTCAGCATCTCTTGACCTTGACCTATAATCATCTTCTCCCATTCTTGATCTGCTCCGAGACTTCATAGAAGACTGGCCTCTATCAAAGTCATCAGAATCACGGTCTCTCTGCTGCTTATACTCGCGATGACTATCCTTCTCTTCACGGTGGCTCTTGTGTCTTCTATCACCACTGCTCTCAGACCAGTCCCGTTCCGTGGTAGCTCGTTCTTTATCTCTCGGCGGCTTTTCTTCTTTCTCTTGAGTCTCATCTTCATAGCCGCCATATTCAGAACCACCTTCTTCACCGCCACCTCCTCCATTAGCCTCGCTCCACATCGCTGCTGCATGAGCTCCATTCATCCCGGAGCTAGCCATCGGTCCCATCCCCGCGCTAAAGAAGGCGGGATTAACATGAGGGGCAATCCCAACCATGCTCATTGCATTGACACCGGGATAAGAATGAGGCATCCCTGGGTAAGCAAGACCTGGAAAGCCTGGGTAGCCACCACCACGACCCATGAATGTAGGATCAAACCCACCATTTGCCATCATACCCTGTGGATGCATCATACCGTTAAATGATGGACCAGCAAGTCCAGGCCCATACGGTCCAGCACCGGAACCGTTAGCCATGTTGTTTATCCCTCTAGCTCTCATTCCACCACCCCAAGGGCCTCCACGGTTGCCCATTCCTTGGCCACCACCACCACCACGCGCAAATCCACCTCTCCCGTAGTTTCTTCCACCGTCTCCATTTTGCGTATTCATGTTGCTGTTGTTGTTGTTGTTATTGTTGTTGTTACCTCTTCCCATTCCCTCATTCAGTGGCCTCCTGTTTTGGATTTGGTTCTGTCCTTGGTTCCTCCCAGTGAAATTAGCTCCCATCTGCTTCAGTGTCTCAGGAGAAGCAAAGGCCACAACGCAGGCTTTACCATTGAACACAAAACCATTCATTCCTTCTTTGCAAGCGGCTGCAGCAGCCGACTCATAAAACTCAACCTGGCAATACCCTTTGGATTTGCCGCTGACCCTCTCGTCGAAAAACTTGATCTCTTTGACTCGTCCATACTGAGAAAGCACACTCTCAATCTCCGCATCTGTCGTCCACCAGTGTAGCTCCCCAACAAAAAGCATGGTGTTCCCATTGTCCACAACAAACGACGCCTGCGTCGGGCTTCTGTTCACCATCGCATTTGAATTCACATTCATCTGGCTAACCGGAATCTGCTGAGCACCTTGAGGAGGAGCACCGTATGGGTTATGCACAGGAGGAGGCTCAGGGACATTGACCGCGTTCCCTGAATAGCCATGTGTGTTTAACACAATAGATGTTGACCCTTGTTGTGGCACGGCTTTGTTGGATTGGACATCAGTTTTTGCGCCAAAAGAAGATGCTTGTGGATAAACATCTGGTCTTGTCTCTGGTCCACTGATTCCATTATGCCCTGCATCATTCCGATACTTCCCTTCAACTGTACCTCCAGATGCAACTGCCATTCTCGGTTCAGCAACGTTACTATTCTGAGCTTGAGCCCCTGTACCACCGACTTGAGCTGGTGTTTGAGGCTGATGATGAGCTTGAAAGAAACTCTCGCCGACATTGACATCGCTATACAGATCATCGTAGTCATCATCTTCTCCCATCAGCTCTTCATCAGCTAGAGCAGGAATAGTTCCGCTACCTTGATGTTGTAGCTTCTGATAACCCATGTTTTCTTCACTCATTGGATTCATACAAACTGGCCAGAAAATACAAGAAGAATTAAAAAAAATAGCATGAATTACATTAAACAATCCTACTAAATAACCTCTCCTTTAACATGAAGAGATTTATAAACAACAGGGCCTTTCACAGAAATTACAAATCTGCATACTCAATTTGGCTGAGACTCTTTACAAGCAATTGATGAACATCAAAGCAGATATGTTCAACCCAAAAAGAGAAAAAAAAAACAGGACTTTTAGATTACGGATCTGAAATTTGGGATCTAGCTCGACAAAAACTTCTTCTTTATTTATCGATTTAAACAAGGATGTTACAAGATTCATATATACAGAGATCAAATTACATACATAGTAGGATTTACAATGAAAGGGGGAAAACAACAAATAGATAAAGCTCTGACATTAGGGTTCTTACAAAACCGAGAAGAAATAAACAGATCTGGTAGGAAAATTACAATTCAAGAACATCGATTAAATCCTATAAAGCCTCTAAATCGATTAGCCTCGCGAATCGAGGATCGAAAGGAAAAAAGAAAAACCTACGCTTGCTTACTTTTACTCTTAGCTGCTGTACCTCTTCCGTCTACTGAAATTGGGATTCCGACGAGCTCCGGAATATGTTCCCCGCGAGAATCAGAGCTTCTCCGTGAAACTCAAGGAAAGTTTAGTTGAGATCGGAGGGAGAGTCGTCTTCGTCGAGACTCGGGATGCTCTTTCTTATCCGATACGAACAAATGAAAGTATGATGAAACTATGGATGGCTTCGCCTTGGTCTTTTTGTTTTTGGCTTTTTATTTTGTCAACAGTATTAACAAACTATTTATTATCATCTTTTTTTAGGAGTTCAACTGTCAATGGTTCAGAAGAAAAAAATAGAAATTAGAAAATACTTTTTGAGATTATGGTATTCGTAAAAAAACTCTGGGTCTGGAATGTCAGATGAATAACAGAATAGCAAAATAACTAAAAAATTATTAGCGGAATGAATTAAACTGAATAATATTTTAGCTGAATAATTGTGAAATGCTAAAAAGCTATTTTTAGTAGATTAATCACGTTTTGTTTTTTAGTTATATTTTTAACACGTTAGCGGAATCACATTTCAAAAACATAAAAAACGTGAAAACGTGATGTATAACGTGAATGATAAAAAATAACAAAATTAAGTTTCCAAAACGTGAAAAAACTGCATACCATTTAAATCTTCTATAAAGCTACAAAATTCTCACGTCTATTATTCGTAAGTATTTCGACATTTTGAATGTATTTATACAAAATATTAAAAAGAAATTACTAGTAATATATAGTATATGTAAATATTTCTACAAACTTTTGTTGGAGAAAAAATTGGGTGGATGGTCAACGGTAATTCTATGAAAACTGTGATACGTGTGTAAATAACAAACCTGACTTCTACATACTTTTTGTTCTTTTGTTTTGTCTGAAAATAGTACGACTAACGTCAAGGCTAGCTTACAATGTGTGCTCATGAGCCCTAAAGCCAAATAGCTTGAGTTACAAGTAACTAAAATGAAGTATTTCAGACAAACAATCACAGGATATAAGACGATGCTGGTGAATTATTTATGAAGCAGCTTTCAGTTTATATTAATACATTCCCTTGAACACTGGATTCGTACGGCATATGCTTGCTCCACATTCCTCATACTCCTCTTTCGTTCTGCAACTCTGTCAAACAAAAGAAACGCATCGATTGTTTCAATCTAAATGAAGCCGGGTGTTGAATCTAGCACTAGTTTCTAGTCATTTCATAACCCATTTCAACTCAACAAGAACAGCAGAAACAAGTAATTTTACTTACCGCGAAAAACTCAGGAGTTGACGAAAGCACAGAGCCTCCAAACCAAACTGCAAACCTCTGGACAGGATGGCTCACGACATTAACCTCCACCGGTTGAGACTGTACTTATAAACATTGACACAGGTGAAATGGAAATAAAATAAATATCTGTTTACTTTCAACTGCGAAACATTATACACGTTTTTTTACCGTGATTTCTCCACCCGTACGAGCGTTATTAGCAAGAACACGAGCATCAACAATCTTCTTGAGATCTCTCTGTAACCTTCTTCCGAAATCTTTGAACATAGTTGAACCTCCGGACAACACTATATTCTGAAATATTATCATCACAAATTCATCAGTACCACGAAAAAATTATCCCCGGATTGGAAATTATCTTAAAACTATGACCTGTCTTTGTATATCATACCTTATATAAAGCTCTTCGTGTGTCAATTGGTGCAGACTGAATACATTTATCTATTACAGCTGGTAAAGTAGTTGTGAAGTCATTGCTGTATATCTCTGGATTAAAGAAGACCTGTAACACAAAATCTCAACATTATCACCATAATAGCAGAAAATGAGCGCAAGAACTTCCATATTGTGCTCTGCTGGTTCCAGTTACTCTCTTGTTTCTCATACAAAGGACATCAGATTTCATTCTCAGAACAAAATTTTGAATCAGAAACAACAGAAGAACACTTAAAACTAAATAAGAATCAGTCCCAGCTAGTATACTTTTAAGCATATTAGAATGAGTAATATACCTACTTTTAGGTTCCAATAGAGTACCATTTATGTCAACACTGTTTAGTATTCAGAACAGAGTGATAATCAATAACAAATCATGAACATCTCACAGACATACCACGAACCCATCTTAATGAAATTGCCTTAGTTATAATGAACCAATAAAGAACAGAGAAACGGTGACAAACCTCGGGTCCAAGGAATCGTTCATATCCCACGTCACATGTGTATGGTGCACCAGTCTTTGGCTTAACACCTTTCCATTGTTTAATAAACTTTCCTGGTTCTTTGTCGTGTTTATTAAACTCCTGCAACCATATGAAAGTTCAGTGATCTTTATCAAATTTCCCGTGTTTCAGTATCAAGCGTTTTCAGCATACAGGAGAGTAATCAATCAGTAAGAACATAGTATTATTTGAGTTAAACAATAACCACTAAGCATTACCTTTACTATGTCTGAACAAGTGTAGCAGTACATTTCCTTTACTTTACGGGCTACATCGAATGAATCTTCTGGTGGTATATTCTCACCTCTTTCCTACAGTAAATATTGAAATGACAAGTTCCATCAACGTAATCCATTGACAAAAACCAGTAAACACCCTCTCTTAAGTATATGAGCACAGAATCTAACATAACTAAACAGGACGACAAAGCTACCATACAACGCAAAACTTGAAATTCACTCATGTAACCAAAGTAAGTACTTAACATCTCACAGAGAAGGATAAGAGCAGAGATAAGTTAGTACATACCCGCATGAGTTGCTGGATAAAGAGGGTAACATCTTTGCCAGCAATTGGAATTGACTTGATAGAGCTCCCAATAACATAACCTTCTGCGACAGGTACAACATGAGTTGCTCCATCTCCAACATCTACTACAACCCCTGTCATCTCACACTAAGAAGAACTGTAAGTCAAATTAAGAGGCGAGCATAAAAATACAGAACAAAAAAAAAGGCAAGAGAACAACACAGATACTTGGAGAAAAGGAAACGTGCGACCTACCTTTGATGTTGTGTAGCCAGCTGCAAGCGCAAGCACCGAGTTCACAGCAATGTAAAGCCCGGGGACATTGAAAGTCTCGAACAGAATCTCTCCCGTGTACTCTCGACTTTCAGGAGGAGTAAGAGGGCTTTCAGTGAGAAGAAAGTAATGATCTTCAGGATCACATCTCAAGTAGTTGAATATACACTGCTGCCAATATCTCTCCATAGCATCCCAATCCTCAACTTGACCATGCTCGATCGGATAATGAAGGTTATAGGTGCTACTAGAGCGCGACTTCGTAAGAGCTTCGTCTCCGATAAAGAAATCCATGTCCGCCGCAACTCCGGCGTTGTGCTGGGCTGCCCAAGTTCCCTTTAACGAACTCTTGGGTTGACTCAGAAACGACTCGTTAGCTGCAACTACTGTTGGGAGAATAAAACATGGCTCCACGTTACCCGCAAATCCCATTTTTGTATACCTGCAATTTTGCAAGCAAACACCACAAGTCACAGAAAGAATCGCGAAATGGAAGAAGATCTAGTTGCGGCTTTTCCTCAAACACGTTGAACGCATTATCCTTATCAAACCAATAACAACGTACCCGGTTCCATTGTCGATTACAACAGCGGGTCGAGAAGTCGGATCCATTGCAGAAACTACGCCGGCGATATCTAATTTCAAAGAACGGCTCGCCGGACTGTGACGGTGAAGGATCTGCGAACTGAGATCCGAAAACAGGTTCAATTTTGAAGAATTTCGATCAGCCTTGTACAATCAAGGATCAAAAGAGAACCTACGCTTACTTCTTCTCGCCTCCTCCGTTTCCGATAAGCTACCAGGTAATTCTCAGTCGTGAGCTTCTGCTAAACAATGTACGGGAGAGAATATATAAAACAATGTTCCCGGGAAAACCAGAGATTCCCGTGAAATTCAGCGACTCCTTCAGATCATAGGGAAAGTCGCCGTCGTCGATTTGTACTTGATTGTGTGGAAATAAATGGACTACTTGTTTTCTTAATTAAACTTCATACTTTGGCTTCGTCTTGATGTTAGTTCGGTTTAATCGATAACCAAGAAATGTTTTAAAAAACCAATCAAATTTCACCAAAATTGAAACAAAAAAAAAGACTATAAAAGTAAAAACCTTTTTTCCCTTTTTATTCGTATTACAGTTAACTTAATCATTCCTATGATCCTATTGATTACGATGTGTAGACGAAGACAAGACGAGACCAATCTTAGATCTCAATTCTCAACTGATAACTACATTTCAACTACCGGCAAAAACCAGCACCTATGAGTGTTTTGGATTTTGATTTGGCTCACTTTATGTAGTTTTTTTGTTTCTTCTTCTTAATCCTGTTTGAGATAATTTTTACTACAATATAAACTAATATCATTTCGTTTGTTAAGTCAAAAGGCTAAATCATGCTATCTAGTTTTGATTTGTTTAATTATAGAAAAACTTAAACCAAAGTACACATCAAGACAAATTTATTAGCAGGCAGGCAAAAATTAACATTTTAATCCTTCATGGATCTACACAAATCTTTGAAATGTTCACTAAGATCTATTTTTATCGTTCAGAAACACTTATAGTTCTATTCCACAACATTTGTTTTGCAGTCGATGAAAAACTTATATACGGTTCGTGTAAATACATTCCACGTAAATCCTTCTTCTATTCTCCCAAAAATACCTACAACATGGCCCATATAGGCCCTTTATATGCCGATAAAAACTGCTATACTATCCTTTTTTTTTTTTGACATCAACTGCTATACTATTCAAATTCACTTGTTTATAACTTTATACGAACTATGGAAGTCATTCTATGGTCCATATATTCTGATCATTATACAAAACCATTTAAATAAGAATTTGTATCAATATGTAATGCATAAATATCCACATGTGGCTTCGTTGTCACAAAAAGATTGGGTTGACCCAAAAAAGTTTGTAACATTTTCATCACCGGAATTTAGCAACAAAACATTTCAGAACCGGTGTGTCAACCGGTTGAATCAAGGAAACTGTCGGGAAAGAAATAAAAACACGTCATGAATTTCAAGCCACATTAGTGTAAAATGAACTATATTTATCCTGGTTTAATACCCGATCTTATTAATTAGACTATGAACCGTATATATCTTTTTGTTTTAGACTATTAATGAATACATACAAACTACTTTTTTTTCTTTTTCTACAAACTACTATTTTAGTGTCAAAAATAAAAGGTTAACATCCAAAAAGGTTTTTTTATTTGAAATACTCTTACGATTCCTAAGAACTCATTATCGGAAATAAAAGAAGAACTCGCTAGCTATTAATGGTCTGTGTGAATTGTGATCTTTTTTTTTTTAATCCATGAGAACCTTTTTTTACGTCAATTAATGTCTGCAGAAAATCAGAAATCTTTCTACAGTCCCTAATAAATTAATACTACTAATTGATTAACGGTCTACAAATAGCCACAATAAAGTATAATATGATCCATAAAATCATTTCCTTGTACTTATTATTTATTAAAAGTTCTCTATATTCAATAAAAAATATACTCGTAATATCGTACTGAAATGATGAAATGTCTCTGTTTGTATAGAGAACTTTTAATTACTCGTACTACACACCATTGATTATTCGTAGTATTTCGTACCAGTGTGATGAAATGGCTGTATTTCTGATATATCGAATATTTTGGTTAATGAGACCAATAATATTTTAAGACAAAAATACAATGGTAATTTTTGTTTCCGACAAATTTGATATATAAATACTACATTGCTTCTGTGTAAAATATAAATAACTACCTATCCTCTAGTAGGATTGGTCGATAGAAAACATAATTATGTTGACTCAGGGAATTAATAGTAATTTAATAATTACCTTATTTTACTTTTTAATTTATATTTATCTATTTGTTTCATGAATTTAAACGATTCTGAGATGCTCCCTCTCTCTCTGCACTCTGCACACTGCACAAACACAAATTTTTACTGACCACTGCCTTAATTGGATCTGTGAGCCCTCTCTGACATCTCCATTATCTCTCTTCTCCTTCCTTCTCTCTGCTCTTTTCTCAGTTTCCTTGTTGAAACCTTCTCTTTTATTTCCTCCTCAAGATTCTCCGATCCGCACCCGGATCTCGATTCCTCAACTGGAGCTCGATCGTTTACGTTCTGTAATCGCTGTTTCGAGTTTGCCCGTTTGGATTTTCCGGGATTCGTAGGTCCTTTTGTTAAAATCAATGTTGTTGTTGATTCGATTGTGAAAATATGAATCCTCTTTGCTGCATTGCTCCGGTTTCAATCGATGACCGGACTAACCCCGTGGTGGCGAAATCGGCGGCGAATCAACAGTCTCAGTTAGGTTTCGAAGCTCTTTCAGTCGCGAAATCGGGTAGCAACCACGCCTCTAAGCCGTCGTTCTCAACTCAAGCCTCGTGGATCAGCCAAGATCAGCTTGAGCGGCTCTCTTCCGATGTCGCAGCTTCCGACGACGTGAATCTCGAGGCGAAGGATTCTTCTTCCAAGGGAGGTTTCTTCTTCGGAAATGGCGTCGGTGCTGGAGGTGGAATCGCCGGGATCATGTACAAGTGGGTGAACTATGGGAAAGGGTGGAGAGCCCGATGGTTCGAGCTGGAGGACGGTGTTTTGTCGTATTACAAGATCCACGGACCTGATAAGATCGTGATGAACCCTTCCTCCAGAGAGAAGGGCGTTAGGGTGATCGGAGAGGAGTCTGTGAGGTACATTAGGAAGGCTAGCTGCGGCAGCAGCAACCGTCTTGGAGCTTCTGCAGCAGCTCCAAGGCCTCCTTGTAAACCATTCGGAGAAGTTCATTTGAAGGTTCCATAAGCACTTCCTTTTTTCTTGATATTCGTTTTTGTTTTGGTTATGGAAGAAGGGAAAGACACTCATTTTTTTGAAATGTTTGAGATGATTTCAATCCAACCCATTGCATACTGTTTGTTTGTGCTTTGATGTTGCATGATCATTATCTTGGGATTATCGTTTACACGTTTCCAGACTCACTCTTGCATTCCCTTGACGTGTATGCTGAAGTTGTACTTGCTTTATTGTAGGTTTCTTCAATTCGTGCGAGCAAGTCTGATGACAAAAGGCTTGCTATATTCACGGGTACAAAGACTCTTCATTTGCGTTGTGTATCGAGAGAGACTAGAGCAACCTGGGTAGAGGCTTTGCAGGTGGCCAAGGATCTTTTTCCGAGAGTGCCCAGCGGCGACATCCTGCCTTCAGAAGATGCGGTTGTTTCGACTGAGAAGTTGCGTGAAAGGCTACTGCAGGAAGGCATTAGTGACACAGTTGTAAAAGATTGTGAAACCATTATGCTTTCGGAAGTCTCTATGCTGCAGAACCGGTTGAACGTTCTCACACATAAACACATTATACTACTAGATACACTGAGACAGCTAGAGGTATGCTTTAGTTTTTCCCTATGCAAACATTGTGATATGGACCTATATATCTCAAACTCTTCCAATTCGTTGGATGTGAGTTATATGCTTCTTGCGTCCATAGACTAACCATATTACTGCAATTTTATACTGTAAATCATCTTGCAGACTGAGAAAATAGAACTGGAAACTACTGTCGTTGATGAAACAAAGGAGCATGACTCTTGCTGTGGACAGGGAAGACGATTTAGTGGTTAGTGGATTTATGACGTGCACATTCTCTCACAAAAATTATAAGATTTTGTACGTTTTTAACATTATTGTTCTCCAACAGATTTCTATTCAGTCATGTCAGAGGTATCTGCAAGCGATTCCGAGGCAGATAATGAGAGTCAAGATGGAGCAGATGTTGAATCTGATGAAGATGATGTAGCATTCTTTGATACAAATGATATCCTATCAGCTGACGCACTGAGAAGTGCTTCTTACCGTAGCAGAGAAGCTGAAGGAAATGGGTCTATTTATGACAAAGACCCCTTCTTTTCTGACCGCTTGCAAGTTCCCGTTAGGATTCCGCAGTATCCATATGTCAGAAGAAGGGATAACTTACCGGAGCCAAAGGAGAAGGAAAAGCCAGTTGGGCTGTGGTCAATCATCAAAGAAAACATTGGCAAAGACTTGTCTGGAGTTTGCCTCCCCGTATATTTTAATGAGCCACTCTCTTCTCTTCAGAAGTGCTTTGAGGATTTGGAGTACTCATACTTGATAGACAGAGCACTTGAGTGGGGGAAACAGGTCAGGTCTCTCAGCCCATGTTTTATTTGAGCAAAATCAGGAAAGAGTGGTCTATTCTTCACGTAGGCGATTTGTTCTGATATGATATATTTTTCCTGTCTTGCCTATATACACAATTACGGCGTCTGCATCTGTTGGGTCAATTAGAATTTTATTTCGCTACTGTTTGGGGTCAAAAAAGAATGGTGGAAACTATGTTAGTTCAATATCTATAATTGTGCTTGTTTTTCATTGCTACCAGCATCTATATTGTTGTCCACAAGTTCACTGGAACTCTAAATAGTCGTCATCAAAAGCTTGATAGTAATCTTAAAAATCAAGATAGTCATATCATCTTGCGTGTTTCACTCCCAAAGCTGAAACCATTTATTTATTTATTAACATTATAGTCTTTTCTCATTTCAGGGCAATGAGTTAATGAGGCTTCTAAACATTGCAGCTTTCGCTGTATCTGGCTATGCGTCCACGGAAGGCAGGCAATGCAAGCCTTTTAACCCTCTACTTGGTGAGACCTATGAAGCTGATTACCCAGATAAAGGACTTCGTTTCTTTTCTGAGAAGGCAAGTCAACTCTCACAACAATCTCTTTTGTATTGACAAATCATGCATAAAATGTAGAATAAAATGTTACGTATAATTCTTTCGAAAATCTGTCGGACATATATAAGAATAAGAGCAGCCCCTCACCTTTCTGGCAACATGATTCTCTTGTTCAGGTGAGTCATCATCCGATGATTGTTGCTTGCCATTGTGAGGGACAAGGTTGGAATTTCTGGGGAGACTCAAATATCAAAGGAAAATTTTGGGGAAGGTCAATCCAGCTTGACCCAGTGGGTGTCTTGACGTTAAAATTTGATGATGGTGAGACATATCAATGGAGCAAGGTTACCACTTCCATTTACAACATCATCCTCGGCAAGCTTTACTGTGATCATTATGGAACCATGCGCATCAAAGGCGGAGGCAATTACTCCTGCAGGTTGAAGTTCAAGGAGCAGTCAGTCATAGATCGAAACCCTCGTCAGGTAACAGAATGATTTTTATTTTTCTCTTTTCTGCTCTCTATGTATATGAACATGTGCGTTTTCGTAAAAACCGGCCTTTCATGCTTATACTAGCTAGTATCATAAACAACAAAGAAAACATCATCAGTGGTTTTAGTAAATCATGTGTGCAGGTTCACGGTTTTGTGCAAGACAATAGAACCGGGGAGAAAGTAGCTATATTGATAGGCAAGTGGGATGAAGCAATGTACTATGTATTGGGAGATCCGACAACAAAGCCAAAGGGATATGATCCAATGACAGAAGCTGTATTACTGTGGGAAAGAGACAAATCTCCTACAAAAACAAGATACAACCTCTCCCCTTTTGCGATCTCTCTTAATGAGATAACTCCAGGGATGGTGGACGACAAACTGCCTCCAACAGATTCAAGATTGAGACCAGACCAAAGACACCTAGAAAACGGGGAATATGAATCAGCAAATGCCGAGAAACTGAGACTTGAACAGTTGCAGAGACAGGTACAAATCTGTGTGTCCAAGTATTAGGAAAGTATTTCAATGATGATTGTTATAGGCTATGTTGTTAGTATAGTTGGTGATGATCATGGTTTTTTGTTGTGTGTTGAAGGCAAGGAGGCTGCAGGAGAAAGGATGGAAACCGAGATGGTTCGAAAAGGATGAAGAAGGGAATTATCGGTATGTAGGAGGTTACTGGGAAGCAAGAGAGAAGAAAGACTGGAATACAATCACAGACATTTTCAAGAAGCAGCAACAGCGTAACACGGTTTCATCTTCATCTACGTTTCTTTAATCCATCATCTCAGGTTTTTTTTTTTATGAAATTAAGGATATAGAAAGATGTTCCCTCATTGTGCTTCTGTGAAAATTTGGCCAGAACCTTTGTTGGTGTGTGTTATTATGTAGATGTGAAACAGACTTATTGGAGATGATGAAATTATTCGAATAGGATTTGCGGTTTCCATGTTTGAAAAGTCTTTTTTTTTTTTTGGCTCGCTAATGTAAAAGAATTGTATAGCAAGGCAGACAAATTCGTAAATTACCATGACAAAGACACGGCGAGATTGAAACGCAACTTCCGTAAATATGAATCTAACGAATTTCTGTTTGACTCTGTTTTTCTGAATATCATATTATCATACATGGAGGGAGCGAGCAAGTCTGATTGATTGAGTTTGAGACATGTTTTGCATCTGCATACTATTGATAAGAGATCATCATCATTCAAGTAAAATAACTTTTAGCTGACGCGATATTTACTAAAAATCTCATTATGGTTTTTTTTAAGTAGTCTTAATAATTTTATTAAGGGTAATTTCGACCAGACATTATACTTATAAAAAAATACAACTCTAGTTAAAAATATTAAAAAGGAAAATGTAATAAAAAAAAAAAGGAAACGACAACGCCTTCAGTTTTGGGATGTGTTTTGCTCAGTTTCATCTCACTTCCAAGCTTTCCTTCCTCTGAACTGGCTTCCGCTGAGGCTATTCTTCATTTTCTTGGCTCGCTTTGATTTCCCAGCCTTTGTTCTTATCGCAGCCAGAGGCATATTCTTCTTGTGCTCCTTCTGTCTATTGCTCGATCCTCCCGACTGCGTTTTCATTTCACACAGTCATATTAGATCATCAAAACAAACATTCTACGCTTTTCTAGATAAGATAAACCATTTCTTGTATATACAAAAATAACGGATACCTTCTTCTGCTTGATGGCAGTCTTGGATCGGTATTTCCCTCGGTCTTCCCTGCCCGCTTTAACTAATTCCAGTCTTTGCTCTTTTGTTAGCTTATGCCTTATGTGAGCCTGTGCAAATAGTGGAATATCAGTTCACATCGAATCACATTCTCACCCCGATTGTGACTAAAATTGAGCTTCTTATAGTTACAAGCTTACTTCAAGTTTGGCTGGATTGACTCGCTTCTTGCTTAGCTGATCAGAATCCGGAACCTTGAATCCTTTTCGAGCCAATGCAAGTTTTGCTTCCTTCTTTGCCTGTATGCGAAACACAAGATATCAATAACGTTGGACTTGTTTACCAAACTGAATGAAGAACAGAGGAAAATAGCTTTTTCTCTTTCGCATATATATACCTGAAGTTCTTTGATTTTTCGGAAGTCCTCGTTAGAAAGTATGCCATCACTTTCATCAAAAGATGGTTGTTCGCTCTTTGCTTCTGCGAATCTCTTTAGTGCTCGTAGGCTTGTATCAGCAGAGACAAGACTCGCATCAAAATCTAACATCTTCCTTTTCTTCCCCTTTGCCTTCTCTTTGCTTCCACTATCCTCTACAGAAGAATCAGAATCTTCTCCGTCATCTTCTTCGCTTTCGACCTCCTCGTTTTCCGAATCTGTCTCGGCTTCATCACTGTCATTCTCCTCTTCCTCTTCATCACCACCGATTGAAGTATCAATATCGCTATCATCTTCAGTGTCATTCATTTCATCATCATCTTCACCATCGTCAGAGTCTTCTTCAGCTTCGTCCTCGGTTCCACAATCATCAGGTACCAGCTCCTGTTCGGTATCATCACTGCCAGGTAACTCCACGTCATCATCGTCTTGCTCACCATCAGAGTCACTCTCATGATCGCTTTCTTGCAATAACTCAACATTGGGAACATCGCTGAAGACATTGGCTTCTCCATATTGTTTAGGTCTGGCAACAGCACCTCCAGGACGGCCACGGTCTTTTTTCACTAGAAGCGAAGGGTTGATCTGAAATTACAGAACGCAATTATTGGTTAACCACAAACATCGATTATTTTGTTCAAACCAACAAATAAATTGCTTTTGTTACCTCTCTGAACAATGCTATGAGGGAACGAGCTGCTGCTGAGATGGCTTTGTCATTGGGCTTTTTCTTATACAGAGCAAGATCTTGCAGCAATACGTCTGTCATCAACTGAAAAACAAGAGACATAAAAAAAAAGAAGCAGTAAAAACACAATTCAGAAAAAAAACGAAAGTGTGCATACATTTACATGAGAATATTAAACCAGGGATAAGAATTAGGTACCTCATGAATCCTCAGGCACATTTCTCGTATCACATTGAGTCCGACAGCAATAGCCTGGTTACATAAATGAAAACAATGAATTGAAAAGGAAAATATAAATGGAGAATAGGCTTTCTGCGTAAGTCCCTTGACGCGAGAAAGGTTAAAATCACACCTCAGGACGTGAACGGTCGTGCACAAACTCATTCACTATTTGCATGAACAGTGGCTTCACGGCATCAGAAGGTACCTGCCCAAGAAAAAAAATATTGGAAAATTTGAAGAATGATAAAAGCAATAATACTTGAAAGTGGAAATGTTTCTATACCCCATCATGGCAAGCCTGAACTGCTGCTGCGAGTATTTGCGTAATGTCCTTTTCATGTGGCTGCATTTATGAAATTTTAATCAAATTTCAAAGCAAAAGATTAAAATTTCAGTTAGCAAAAGCAATTGTAAAAGGACGGTTACCAAATCTTACCTTAGCATAGTTTCGAAGATAAGTATAAAAGCTTAATAAATGCAACTTGTGAAGACCAATTGTCCGTGCAATAACTTTAATCATCATCAACCTCGTCTGCAAGTTTATTGGAAAAAATCAAATGAGATTATCAGAGACGTGGAACCTTATGCAAAGTTGATAAAAAGTTACTTATCTCATCCTGACTAGTTAGCTCATAAGTTTCTATTAGAATGGATGAAATGAGTTAAAATCTAAGATTTTAGGGGATAACTATCAGTTAATTAGGCAAAGTCAAATACACTTGGCGAAAGGAGACGAATTTCAATTATGAATAATTACCTCAGGCCGTTCACTAGTTTTGCCAATGTTCTTGCCAGCCTGAAGACGAGAAAGAAGTCTCTCTGCAAATTTCTGTAAAAGAAGCAAACATTCAATTATAGCCAATCCCTACTATCGTGGTTACCTTCTCTGCGTATTGGCACACTACAAATAGCTAAGAAACGTACCTGCGGATCATTTAGATGATTAAGAGGTGAATAAGTTGAAGTGGTGTTTTCACACGACGCACGCTGCTTTTTTTTAATACTCCGCATCGCACGTTGCAGTTTCGCTTGCTTTTTCTTCTTGCTAGAAGATGTACCTTTGTTGGTTGCCTATGCAGCGGAAAGGGAAATAGATTAAACAAACTAACCCAAAAAGATATAAATGCTTTATAACATAATGTAAACATGACCTAATTTCATACTGCCATGATCAAAATGATAAAGAAAACTATAACGGTGGAAACTTCCAACAAGAGCTAGTAAGTCTCTTCTTCATAATTACTGGCAAAATTCATGTATAATGTTGTTTACCTTGTAAATAGCCTCTCTGTTGACCACAACCTGGGATGCTTGCTTTGAGTCCTCGTCATCGCTGCCTGAAGCATCACTATCATCATCATCGTCAAGGTTCTCATAGTCAAGAAGAAACCGCAAGGAAGAAATCATGATCCTGAACATGTTAAAAAGAGAAGTTAGTAATTCGACAAGCCATATCATATCAACATACTCCCAGAGTTAGAGAGAAAAAAAAAGATATACCTAGGTGAGGAATGAAAGCACCCTTCACAAATCGCAATTGCAACTCTGTCATGTCTATCACCAAGCCAGACTTTTCTCTTGTGAAGCTCACAAAGGGTAACAAGAGCTCTCTTAGCCTTTGTTTCATCTTCTTGCTACAAAAAAAAAGAGACACAAAGCTAAATTATCATCTACTACCATATCGCATCATAAACTCAGTTACACAATCCCATGAAAAAGGAGAAAGAAAAAGAAGTTACCTCCAATACAGAGATCACAATCTTCTGAAGTGATTTGTGCCTTGGTTCAGTGATGCTCATCTTACGAATTGTTTGAACAATGTGAGAGAAAGCAAGCTTTCGCAGGTTTCTGTCACCAAGAGTCTGAACATCCAGAAATAGAGCCAGCAAATCCTCGATGACGAGACTCTAACACACCAAAAACACAGTAAAATCAATCTCCGAAACAGAGCAAAACAAAACAAAATGGATTGAGCTCAGATTCCAATCAATCAGATTAAAACAAAAACCTTTCTGTTCATAAGAAGAATCAGTGCTTGCGCAACATGGTTCCGAAGCCCCGACGGCATTGCCAGGCACGAGGTACGGAGTAAATCAGTCAATTCAGCTGGAAATGTCGCGAGCTGCTTCGGGTAAAACGGAGTAACGTGAGCCAGAAACATGGAGCGGTCTCCGAGGTCCTTGGCAACGGAAAGGTCGGAGCCGACGCCCCCGACGGAGGAGAAACTGAGAGCCGCCTGTTGCTGAAAGAGGTCGACGGAGGCTTTGAACTGTTTGTAAATCAATTGGAGCTCCGTTACGTAACCCTCTGGATCACGCTTGATTTTGCCCTGAAGGATAGGAAGGCTGACCTTCTCGGAGCTCCGGCCAGATGCCTTGAAGGACTCCGGCGTATGACCTAGACATCCGGCCATAATCGGAGGTTTTGGGAGAGAGAGAGAGAGAGAGAGAAACCCTAGAACAAAAAAGAGAGACTTTTAATTTATACTTCCTTTTATTTTCCCTTTAGGTTTAGTTCTTAATTGTACCAGGTCGGCTTACGATTTGATCGTTTCCCCGGTTCTATCGGTTTAGTAGTTGATAGTCCCTGGTTTTTTCGGTTTGGACTTTGAATCTGAATTTGAACTGTCTCAATTTTCTGAATCCTCTGTTAATCATCACTATCCTCTGGCTTATTGAGATCACATTCTCATCTTACATCAGGCAGCAAGTGATTGTAAGTTTCTTTATTTTATATTTTTGTAACAATTTCGTTTGTTTTTTTAAACTCAAATTAGTACTCCATAATGTTTTTGTGGCTATTCATTATACTGAAGAAAGGATTGAAACTCTCAAAGCGTTAACACACTCCCTTATTTTTATACACTTATGTCACACAGACTAACACTCTCACAAAAGACATGACAAACAAAATTTGCATTATTTTGGGAATCATTTGTTTGATTTTTTTAAAACGTTTTTTTTTTCCTCTTTCGTTTTGCAATAAACACACAATTCGCATTTGTTGTCATCCCAAAACTTTTACGTTCCGTCTCTGACAAGAAACCTCATCTTCTTGAAATAGACCAATTCTGCACGCGAAGACAGCAAATGTAATTCCTAAACCAAAATATGAAATGCATGACACATGTTTCCTCCAACAAAGTTTGAAATTCTCAAATAACTCTAGAAACAATGAGATCACCACAAAGAGAGAGATTTCAGTGAGAGAAACTTAATCATGTCTTTAACAGAGCGAGTTTACAGTCATCTTTCTCTCTTCGATATAGCTCTTGCATTGTTGGGGCTGTTTGTTTTCTGTTGTTTGCGTGAGAAGTTAAGCAACAAGCATGGGCCAATGCTATGGCCAGTGTTTGGAATCACTCCAGAGTTTTTCTTTCATATAAATGATGTCTATGGATGGGTCACAAAGACTTTGAAAAATTGCCGAGGTACCTTTCTTTACCGCGGAGTCTGGCTCGATGGATCTTACGGAGCCGTGACTTGTGTTCCCGCGAATGTGGAGTACATGCTCAAGACTAACTTCAAGAACTTCCCCAAAGGTACATTCTTCAAAGACCGGTTCAGCGATCTGCTCGAGGATGGTATCTTCAATGCTGACGATGCATCTTGGAAGGAGCAACGACGGATCATCGTTACCGAAATGCATTCAACCAAGTTCATGGAGCATTCCTTTGAGACAACGCAGCATTTGGTAAAGAAGAAGCTGCTAAAAGTGATGGAGAGTTTCGCGAGGTCACAAGAACCTTTCGATCTACAAGACGTGCTCCTGCGCTTGACATTTGACATCATCTGCATCGCGGGTCTAGGGGATGACCCGGAAACTCTAGCTTCTGATCTTCCTCAAGTTCCATTTGCCAAAGCTTTTGAAGAAGCAACAGAGTCTACACTGTTTAGATTCATGATCCCTCCATATATATGGAAACCCATGAAGTTCCTCGACATCGGGTATGAGAAAAGTCTGAGGAAAGCTGTTGAGGTCGTGCATGGATTCGTCAACAAGATGATCGTGGATCGTATCCGCAAGCTCAAGGACGAAGAGACGCTAGATAATAGATCCGATGTCCTTACAAGGATTATTCAGATAGAGAGCCGTAGAAAAGGTAACGAGATTGATCCTTCCACCGTTAGGTTTTTTAGACAATTTTGCACAAGTTTCATCTTAGCTGGACGAGACACAAGCTCTGTTGCGCTTTCATGGTTCTGCTGGGTGATACAGAAACACCCAGAAGTTGAAAACAAAATCATCTCCGAGATCAGAGAGATCTTGAGACGGCGAGGGGACTCTCCAGCCAGCAAAACCGACGGTAGCCTCTTCACGGTCAGGGAACTAAACAGCATGGTCTATCTACAAGCAGCACTTTCAGAGACTCTGAGACTTTACCCTCCGATCCCAATGGAGATGAAACAAGCCATTGAAGACGATGTGTTTCCAGATGGGACATTCATAAGGAAAGGTTCACGGGTTTACTTCTCGATCTACGCCATGGGGAGGATGGAATCTATTTGGGGGAAAGACAGTGAGATGTTCAGACCAGAGAGATGGATCCAAGCAGGGCGTTTTGTCAGTGAAGGCCAGTTCAAATACGTTGTGTTCAATGCTGGGCCAAGGCTGTGTATAGGGAAAACATTTGCTTACCTGCAGATGAAGATGATAGCTGCTTCAGTCTTGCTGAGGTACTCAATCAAGGTAGCACAAGATCACGTGGTTGTACCGAGAGTTACGACTAACTTGTACATGAAGTACGGTCTCAAGGTGACCATCACGCCAAGGCCACTGGAAAGAGAAGAAAAAGTAGAGTCATGTTCAATGTAGAAAGCATTGTGTAGACTTATTATAATACCTTAAGAGGAAACTCAATTTTCATTGCTTAATACTAAACTCACAATGTAAGCATCTTTTGACATTTTACTATCAGAGGGTTCTAAGGTTTTGCAGCAATCCTTCACTGTGTAATCCAAGCTCCGATCATCCCAAATCCAATTTTCAATTAACCTAAGAACTCGAAGTTGGGAAGAAAATTTCTATACTTTCTGCACTACTTACAGTACAAAGCCAACGATGAAAATTGAAAGGTATCATTTTTGCAAGGTAAAATTAACCATTGGAGTGGTAATTGATCTGAAAATCTTAATCGGTTTCAAAGAAAGAAGCCCAAATTGAAGTAGAGAATGTATCAGAGAGTCATACCATCGAACGACTCATGGGTGGCTAAAGATGGAGGCGAAGTGAGTGAACTCGACGCAATAGAAACCAATTGAAACGATTTCCTCGCCGATAAAAGTTTGCATCCGTAAGGCTGCTTTCCATTTGATGCGCGTCCAATTAACGCGCCGCGAGTTGACTCAATGTAGCTCTAATCGACGGCCGGGAGACACGGTGGTGGTGATGAAATGGTGATCGGGAAGACGACGAGTAATTCTAAGTTTACTCCTCTTTAGTTTCGCTATTTACGTTTTTACCCTTATTGTGGTGATTTTATGTCAATTTTACTCCTCATTAATTTTGCCATTTACACATCATTTTTTTTTTGTTTTACAATTTGAATGCGTAACTTTAAAATTTGTATCTTTGGTATTCAATTTAGTCAGCTTAAGATGAACAAATTTACTTGATCTATTAAGGAATTGAATAATAGATATATTCTACACCATGCAATCAATTGTTTTAGCGAGTGTAGAGCTTTTACAACAAATCCGACTTGGGTGACAAATTCTGTAAGGATGAGATCTGTTTGTACAATGTGGAGCTCTTCAATGGCCTTGTGGCATTAATGATCTTGAACCATTGGCTCATTGGCTCACACGAACTGTCCTTACTCAGACACTTGCAGGCATCAGCCACGACATTATTGGTTGCGTCCACGTCAAGGCAAAGAGAAGTTTTGTTACCTGTTGTCGTAGCTAAGTGCATCCTAGAGGCCGAGATTGTCTGCCATATGGAACCGGGTTTCGAGCAACTCGTCCCAGTCATCGTAACCCGGTTTTTTGGTCCGTTGCTCTGTAAACACAGAAGCTGGTCTTTGATTCTTAGGGTTTTCTTAGTGTAGCTCCATGGTTCGGAGCTATTGCACGGACCAAGAGTAAGCATTGTAGTGTCATTGAGAGATCGTACTAAGCAGAGTCCGGTTAACGGATGTAAAACCAGATTGTAAGCATCGGTTCGAGGGCCTGGTCCTAGTAAACCAAATCAATCCAAAAGTTAATAAAAATTATAACTCTTGTAGCAAATCTTGTAATCTTGTTTATTAAGTTTTAGTAATTTTCGAGATATATGCACCTTGGAGCGGAGATTGAAGAAGAGAGATCTTTTGCAAGAAACTCGAATTTCGAACACTAGACCAATCCGAATCCAACGCACCATAATATTCATTCAACCCGACCACACCTTCTCTTAAATAATAGCTTCCAGTAATCGCCCAGAGTGACCAATCGACGTCATTTTCAGCTGCCCAACCGCTTAAGCAACCGAAATAGCGTTCGTCATTCGCGTTTTGTCCTCTTTCGTCTATACCGAACTCGCTGAGGAACAAGGGAAAGCCTTTGTTAAGGAGAAAACCGCCAGCGTTTCCTACCCGGTTTAGAACTCGACCGCAGATGTCGTTAGGGTTATTGGTCGCCCACGAGTTTCCGTCGGTGAAAGAATACCAATGAAGCTCGAAGACGAGTTTTTCGGTGAAGGATAGTTTTACGGGTCGCGACCTAACGAAGGAGAGATCGGTGTCAAAGCTGAGACCGGAGAGGATTACAAGTACGTTCTTGTTTGCTGAGTGAACTGCTTCAGCTCCTTGTTGCATATACCTAATTCAATTTATTGTAATTAATATTTTATAACGAAGAACTTTAAAGTTAAAAGTTATACGTATATAACTTATCCAAAGGCTAAATATATTAGTTACCGTACTTGAACCAATCGTTGACGTTTTGTTTAGGCCCTCTAAGTTCATTTCTTAGACCCATGCCAACGACATTAGAGACGCCGTCGAAGGTGGCCGCCATTTTACTCAAAGCGGCGGTCCACACGGTGGGATCGAAGAATTGGTCACCGAAGAAACCGTTACCGTCGTTGTTGTCGCAGCACCACCCTGGTTTGGTTAGGTGGTTGTCTAATATAACCATCACATCGTTGTTTCCTAATGTGGTAACCACCGTCTGCATAGAAAGAAAAAGAAGTTTTATATCATCGTTGATATTTCATTTTCACTTTTTTCTATTATAAGATTACGGTTTCGGTTAACATTGGTGATTTTAGATTTATCACGTAGTGTTTTAATCTTATTCATGGCATGTGAACCTTTGTGATTTAGATGACTTTCCGTGTTGCACCGGAATTTTTCGACTATTTTTAAAAAACCTTTGTGATTTAGATAATTTTTCGACTGAAAAAAGGAAAAACGCCAAACAAACGTCACGAGTGTTATGTGTTCTGGAGTTACATATTAACGTCATTTACCCACTACCAAACAATTTTTAATTAAGAAATTGACTATTGACATAATTCAGCATAGACCTGATTCCTGAATTTTATGTTTCTTTTTTGCGAAAAAAGGAAAATTTAACTAAGACAATTTATAAACAATTCTCAACCAAATCCCAACTAAACATTTTTTTTATGGATATTGTATATGTAAAGTTTCTTCTATTGTTGACGCGTTCTTTCGACAGATCGGTTCTTCTACAATTTCAATACGTGTAGTAGTTTGATAAGCAACATTGAAACTCATACTTCTATCAATATATTTTTATTAAATTAATTGAACTCTGAAAAGTAGTTTAACAGACTCATTTTAATGTTTAATGATACATTTCCCTAATGCCTTGCTGTTTAAACATTAGTAAGAATAATTATCAAGAAACAAATTAAAATCAGCTGAAACACAAAAGCTATATAGATATAAATTTGGAAATCACCTATCCTCAAAAAACTAATAATTTTCTTATATGATTAAATGTTTGATTTTTAGGATTTGGATGCACCCAAAAAAAAAGGATGCACCCATGCATCTTATTTAATCATACCTCTTTTTCATTTTCATGGAAACGTCTACTTTATATATATATTCAAACTATTACAACTTTTTCTTCTAATTAGCAAAATATGTTCACATGACACATGAAAAAGGATGCACTGACGTACACGTGTATACATATGCATATAATATATACACGATCTATCTAACATTTGCGCAAAAAAATCTTCAAATCATCTTACTAAAACAGAAAGCGCTTTTCGATATTTGCATTAGAATTTCCTTGTTGGTCAAATTCAAATGCCAATGTGACAAGAACAAATAGTAAAACCTCATATATTTTTTTATAAATAAATATATAATCGACGCAATATATAGAATCAAAAGATCGGAGATGTTATTATAAGAGTACCTTGAAAGCTTCGATGAGGGAGAGATCAATAATGGAGGGGTTGTTAGTTTGGAAGCCAACAATGTCATCTTTAAGACCAAAGCTTTGAAAAGATTGTCTCACTGTGACATTATTGGCCAATGTCTCATTAGTCATCAAATCCAACGGCCAAGTTAACCTAACACAATTGAAACCCATTTCCACTATCTTCTTGGCCACTGCGTCCACCGGTTGCTTGCTCAGCCCTTCCGCCACCACGGGCTGTAGGTGGGATGGCCAGTTCGCACACGTTAGCTTCACTCGTTGACCGTTCTCGTTGACGATCCAACGGGAGCTTGTGGAGAGAGGATAAGCCATGTTTGGGACGGTGTGTTGTGCAATGAATGAGAAGAAGAAACAGAAGAATGGGAAAATGCAAAATATGTGTTTTGGCTCTTTTGTTGTCATTTTTTTCTATGAAGTTGTGTTTTCTTGTTTCTTTTGTGTTTTGGAGAATCATTTCGACGATAGTCATATTTATAGATATAGCGAGAGAAGGTTGAGAAGTAAATGTCCCCGTCATCAAAAAATTTGTTCTTCCTTTACTATTCATATATCATAAATGATAAGGTTTGTATATAACAGTTACTTTAATATTAGTACTTGGCTTCCTTTCCCTGTTAATAATATACTTATGATATAAATAGTATAAGTTTTTTTAACATGAGTTTTCTTAGAAGACCCAAAAGGTCTATTTTTAGTGTCTGTGTCTAAACTAGGAGAAGTCTCATAAAACTTACAACTCAACACATTACCGGATTCTAAATAGACATATACAACTGGCTATAATATCTACATACTCATAACTCACACCAAATATCCTAAACCTAAATAAGAAATTGTCGCTAACTGTCAAAATACTAACATGCGTGTAACGGTTCTGTCTAATATCGTTGTAAGTATCTAAAGATGAATTAGCCGTTTCCCATGCAAAAATAGGTCTCGAACCGGCTTCAACTTGAGCAGTATTTTCACCATTCAAACAACAAAATCAAAGTTCAAGTTGTTAAGCCATGTTAGTACTTTTGTTAATTCAAAGATTTAGACCATATTTTCAATTGTACATATCATTCTTTATGATAACTTTCCTGAATAATGTATATATTTTGAAGGATGATGTTTTTTTTTTGGTCAACATGGATGATGTTTGTTTTGGCTGTAAATTCATGATATTAGTTGTATATATATATATATGAAATGAGTTCAGATAATTTTTTTAAACTAATTTCGATTTTGTTTTGTTTGCATTGAGGAGTACTATTTTTTGATTCAGAAAGACTAACAAACATCTAGAATGCTTGCGTCAACAATTTTTTTTTCCATTTTCAATATACAATGTAGTATGTTGGTACATAGTTGATAAATGTTTTTAATGTCAACGTACACAAAACCAAATGCATTTACCAACTATTTGAATCCATTTACTTATTTAGTCTATTTCTATCAAGAATTTATTGCCATTTATTACTTTAGCATTGTACTTCACTACTTGGTAAAACCCTTCTCACTATTTGTAATGGTTTACTTGAGCTGTGTTTCTATCTAAATTACTCCAAAAAAAGACTAATGTACAAAGTCGAAAATGTATCACTTTGAATGTAACTTGATTTGTAAGAGAAAATTACTCGCAAGTAAATATATGTAGATTCCACAACGCTTTTTGACAAGTTAAGAGAGACTTAAAAGCGTCGGAATCAACGCCCGTTAAAGTTTAACCTACGTCCAAGTAAATACTGCTTTTGGTGTTTTGTCATATAAACACAAAGGCTCAAAGCTTTCCTAAACTAGTATATTTTGTTGTAAAAATTTGATTTACCTCAAAGAAAAAACTAAACTAATACTTTTTGTTGTAAAAATTCGATTCTCATTTTCAGAATCACACATATACGTACATAATTCTTCAACCGTTGTATAATAATTTGTGATTTTGTTGTTCTTTTAGTTCTGATTTAAACCGACCGGTTCTTTGTAACCGCCGGTTTTTTTTTCTTTCCCTGACTTTGCGAACTTGTTAAACGACATCGTTTTACGCATAGGCGTTGAATGACGCTAATAAGCTTCTCGAGCTCCCTTCGTCGTCCTTGGGCTAAAACCTCGCATTCGAAATCAAGTCGAGTAGAAGAAGAAGCCTAGAGATTGTGCGTTGAAGGAACTCTTCGATTCGGAGAGTAGAACCAAGGCTTTATGGGAAATTGAAACCACAAGGCAAGAGTCCGTCTTTATCGCTCCCAGTGTAGAAGCCAAACGATCCATTTTTCTCTGTTAATCACTGAACCAGCGATTGTGTAATGTAAGTCCTCGTCTTTGATTTTGTGGATTCTTCTTGTTCAGATCATCAGTGAATAGATTCCTTTGAATTTCCAGAATCCGATAGCTAATTTTGTTTTTGGTTAAGATTTCACTGATGTCTGTATTTTCGATTTTCGCGAATTTTTTCTTTTGCAGGGGGATTGTTTTAGAGCCTCGTTGTCCCAGAAGCGTCGATGGGATTAGCATTGACCCTGAGCCTAACTGGAATTTCGATAGCTTAGTCTCTGAGATCGAGTCTGTTGAGAAGAAGCTCAATGCCTTTTCGAAGTTTCCCCAACCATTCATTAAGAAAACCTTACGGTACACTTTTCTCTCTTTTGATTTATGTTTACCTTATTCTGGAGTTTTTGAATTGATTTAGAGGATCGATAATAATGTACTTTGGTTGATTAATTTCAGCTGAAATTAGTATATAACGTTTCTGATGTTCATTGGCGTGTTAAAAGGATGGGAAGGAGTGGTAGAGGGGGATTTGTGATGCGTATATCAGAAGATGAGATGGAGAGTGATGAAGATGAAGAGAGTGGTGAAGAAGAAGAAGAAGAAAACCATAGTCAAATTTGTACAAAAGGGAAACGTTTTGCCTGTGATGAGCTATACTTGAGGTGATTGCCACCAACCCTTTCTTTGCCATCTTGTTTCAAAACTAAGAGAAGACTGCTTGAGCGTTGTTTGATGGGTTTCTATCGGTTATTTCATTGTTCTTCCAGTGATGAATCTGACGATGAGTTTGACTGTGAACCTGAGCCCCTTTTGATGAGTAAGATGGGTGTGGCTGAGAATGTCCTATATGAGGTGATCAACGACCAACAAATCGAAGTTAAGGTGGGTGGAGTTTCGTTTCTTTTGATTGATAAATAGGTTCATATTGTTGAGTGTGTTCATTTCGATTGGTATAATATAAGTGATTGAGAATTTGGATCTCCTGTGATTACAGGAAGATATTAGGAGTCAAGTGTCGGTTGTTGAAGCAGAAATAATGAACGAGATTGAAACATCTCGCTCTGCAATAGCTAGGGTCGAAAAGTATAGTGAAACTAGAAAAGAAGTTGAACGGAAACTGGATCTTCAATATCAACGAAAAGTGTAAGCTTTTGTTCCTGGGATTCTACTTTCAGTATTACATTTCTTACCAAGTTAGTTCATATGCTGTGATTTTTTGTTTCCCCTGTCTCCAATTTTTTGGGAAATAATGAGTTTTTCATGTTGCTGATTTCTAGTGCTGAAGCACTTGATACCCATCTGACTGCAGTCCAACGTGATCATGAAATTAAATCGCAAATAGAAGAAAGAAAATTAAGGAGCGAGGAAGCTCAGGAGGAGGCCAGGAGGCGAGAAAGGGCACATCAAGAAGAGAAAATACGTCAAGAAAAAGCTCGTGCAGAGGCTGAAGTATGTTTTTTTTTTTTCGATAGAACTTTATGTTTGTTATCTTCATCTTACTCAACTTTCTTATAGTCTTTTCTTTTGGTTCTACTAAAAGCTAGCAAAAATCAGAGCTGAAGAAGCAAAGAAAGAAGTTGAGAGAAAGGTAGCCAAAGAAGCAGCTGAAAAGGAAGTAGCAGATCACAAAGCTGCTGAACAAAAACTTGCGGAAGAGAAGGCTGTGAAAGATAGAGTTAGTGTTGCTAGTAGTTCAGCTACAACGAATGCTCAACCTGGGGGTGAGTTATATTTCTATTGAATTACATATTGTTGTTCTTCTACGTTGTTGCCGTAATTGATCTTTCTTTTTCGTATGAAGATTGTGTTCTCATTTCTGATTTTTTTTTTTATTAATCATGTTAGGTAAATCAATCCAAGCTGCAGAAAGTGCTTTGACATTGGAGAAGCTCAGATTGAAGAAGCTCGAAGAGTTAGAAGCAATGAACCAATCGCTAAAATCACGTTCAAATGAGGTATCTATCCTTTTCTTACGTTAGTATATGTCGTGTCATCCACATTTGATCACATTTCAGTGGGTTTTTCACTATATGTAGGACTTTAGCAGCTTTGAAAAGCATATTGCAAGGGCGATAAAGCAAATAAGGGGGACAAAGGAGAATGTAAGGTATGGTTCATGGATTCTTCCCGTTATCTGTCAATTTTGTTAAACTTTTGAAAATGTCAGTTATAAGCATTTGATAAGAAAGATTCAGATAGATTTGAATTGGGGTTTTGTTAGTTCTTCTTTCTTTTAAACCTTAATTATTTCTGCTTTGGGGGGCTTTTGCAGTACGAAAAGCAGCGAAATTGTCAAAATATTGAAAGACCCTCGTTGTCCGGTGTCCATCAGTATTGCAACTTTTGCGAAGAAGGTAACTTGTATGCCTAGTCAGTTAAACAGTCACCCGTTGATGTTGTATTGTTGGATGTTGAAATTGACTCAGAATGTTGAGCTCTGGTCAAATTTGCGAACATTAATATGCTCATATGCTGGGTTATCTTCTGCTGGCCTCTTGTCATTAATCTGAGACTGATGGCATTAATGTTTGATGATTTTTTCAGATCGTCTCCGCTAAAGATCCTTTTGCAGGCAGCTACGTCATTGTTTACGTCACCTCACAGGTACACAAATCTTTTTATGGTGGATTATTTGTCGGTTCTGTAGTTATAAAAACTCTTCTTGCTGTTACTGACTATCACCTACCATTGCACACAGTTTCCACAAGCTATGGATATTCTTCTTGCTGAATTCCACAAAGCTTGCATTTACACTGTCCCGAAGCATATTGTTAACTCACAGGTAACTTACTATAATCTCCTTCTAAACTTACTTTGACAAAATTGTGAAAACCGTTACTTTTCCTAATAATTTCTCTGTAATAATTTCAGTCAGCTTGGGACACAGACGCATATCAACGCCTAGATTCCATAATGAGACTCTACGGTGCACTTGTCCAGGTTTTTTTGCCTGTCTTTTTATTCATCTATATCTCTTATGCATTGCTAATTCCATAGTCCCATTCTTAGCAATGCGAGTCTTCTTCTAATGGTAATGACAGACCGATGTTCGTGGCGGCAATGTCACTAACATTCATGGGATTGAACATGGATGGGCTTGGTTTGCCCGGTTCCTTAACAAAATCTCAGCCAACAACAGAGTTACCGCAACTGCCTTAAATGCATTTCTCCAGGTACCGAGAATGCTTCGATTACAATTACCAATTCCGAATTGAAAAAAAAAAAAATGGTCTTTGGATCATAACTGTGGTATCTATTTCTGTGTATAGACGGCAGGGTTTGGTCTTCATCAGAGGTACAAATCTCAGTTCTTGAAAATTCTGAGCATTGTCAGAGATCATTTCTTGCCGAAACTGCGTGCGAAAAAGGACACGTCGGATCTACAAGCGATCATACTCGATATCGCGACGTACATAGAGGACCGGATGTATCTTAAGGAACCTGAAGGAAGAACTCTGAAGGCGAATACTTTGTCGGCGGAGTTTACTGCTGAAGTAGATCAGCAGAGCAACAACAATCAGCATTACCAGAGGAATTATTACGGAGGCTATTATTGATTGATGTATCTCTTTCGTCATATAGAAGAAACCTATCTCAATTTTCCTTTACACTGTTGTAACAAATGATAACAGTATCACATCAATATTTGAAAAATCAAACATGCTATCTCTTTATTGAGTATTTTTGTTTCATTTTAAGACTCAGTGGTGAAGAACTGGAACGAGTTCAAGAGCTGCTTTCTTGCTGAGAGTGATCACTCCGGTTTCTTCCAAGACGATCGTTTTTCCCACTGGCAATCCCCAGTCGAAGAAGTAGAGCAGATTCATCAGTCCCAATTCCACTGTGGCCTTCCTCATCTCCGGACAGATTTTCTGGCCAGAACCAAACGGTAAAAGCTCAAAGTCTAGTCCCCTGTAATCTCTCGAACTGTCGAGAAACCTGTCGGGATTAAACTCATCTGGGTTTGTCCAGAGGTTTGGATCGCGTGCCATCGCGTAGACGTTGATGATGATCATGGCTTCCTCGGGGATATCATAGCCTTGGATCTTCGCGACTCCAGACAATGTCTCTCTATGTGGCAAAATTGGAACTGGTGGGTGTAACCTGAATGTCTCTTTGACCACGAGCTTCAAGTAGTGAATCTTGTTTAGATCATCTTCTGTGATCCTCTCCTTCTTTTCCCCGAGTGTTGTCCTAATCTCTTCTTGCACTTTCTTCATAACTCTCGGGTTTTTCATCAGCTCTGTCATCGCCCAGACCAACGCGATGACACTTGTGTTTACTTCCGCAAGAAATATGTCCTGACACAAACACATACGCGTAACATTTAGAAGATGTTATTACTACTGCGCAATTTCAGATATAAGTTAACATGTACCGTGATGATTCCTCTGAGATATTCCGTAGTGAGTTTGAAAGAATCTTCATCTTTCTCTTCCTTTTTCATCACATTGATCATCGCGTCCATGATATCTGGGTTCTCTAGTACTGTTCTTCCAGGCTTGAGATGATCATCAAGAACGTTCTGAAAGAAAGTGTCGAGTTCCGAGAAAACCTTTTTCGATTTCTTTTTCAGACCGAAAATCCGGTCAATGAGCCAAACGAATCCTCTAGGGAGTAATTTAGAGAAGGAATCAAACTCAGTGACCAGATCAAACTTGTGCACAAGATCCGCGATGCTATCTTCATCTATGAACTTACACTCTTGGAGATTTTTCCCGGACATGACTCTACACACCATACAAGAGACGAAAGTGAAAAGGGTCTTTGTAAGATTCACCGGAGATCGCCTCGAAGCAGAGTCAGACACTTTCTTGACCAGCAAGTCATTCTCTTCCTCTCTGATATACCTGAAAGACTGAGTTTTCGTGGTAAAGAGTTTGAGCAGGGTGAGGTTCCTGGACGTTTCCCAGGCTTCACCGTCAGGAGCGAATCCGGCGTCTTTGAAGTCGTAAGCGAAGATTCGTGACCCGGCTGACTCTGGTCCGCTGCTGCAACCTTCAGGATCTTCCTCTGCTGCTTCTTTCGATGAGATGACGATCAGGGAGAAGGGTCCAAAAGGGATAAGCATCACTGGCCCGTACTTTTTGGAAAGATTCCAAAGCCATAAATGAACCAGTCCGTTAAAGTTGCGTAAGATTCCGGTGATCGAAAACTTCTTTGGTCCCGGAGGAAGATTTTCTAGTCCCGGTGGAAGATTTTCTGGTCCCAGTGGAAGCTCCCATTTTGAAGGTTTGAGATAGTCTAAAAAGATCAACGAAACTATGAAAATGAGTAAGAGACAGAGGAAACAGAGGAAGATTGTCATTGTTCGATGCTCTGTTTATCTTTTTTTTTGTTTGTGAGCGAGAAGTATTGTTTGGAAAATGCGAAATACGAAGACTTAAAAATGAAAAAAAAAAAAAGTCTTAGACGAATATAATAGAATCAAATACGTATTAGCAGATAGACTATTTCTTGGATGATGACAAAATTTCGTGATGAATATAATATGATTCACAAAGAGAGTCGTTTCCGAATTCGAATTCCAAAGAAAGACTTTTTTTCGAAGTCGTCGCGTTTGTTTCTTTGATTGTTGTTTAGGTAAGATAGCTTGTAATGTGATAGGCCGGTCTACAGAACTCCAGCTAGCCACAACATGTAATTAACTTAAATCGCTGAGATTAAGGCTGGATATTCTATTAAAATGCAACGTAAGAATTATAGGATTATGACTTTGTGGGTCTTATATAGTTTGAGACAAATAGGATTAAACATCCAGTCAAATATATATATAAAAAAAAAAGTTTCTCCGAATATGAATGTTTATTTGATTTTGGACTGCGTTATCTAGATCTTCTAGCCTTCTAGGTGAAATTCAACATTTGCCTCAGCTTCAACATTAGTTCTTCTTTTTAAACGATCTGGACACAAACAAAAAAAAGCTTTTATATTTTTAGTTTATTCAATCTTTGTTAAATCAATTTTTAACTCACGCTATATTTATTAAAGACTAGGGAGCAGTCCCTCCATATGCAATGCATCTACTCTCAGATATAAATCCAAAATAGAAACAAGTGTTGTAAAAGTCTTTCTGTTAATATTTTAATTTCTATCCAGGTAACGTGTGGACGGATGACCTACAGACATAATAGTAACGCGTCTCAGGGATCTCATGGTTTTTGTTTTGTTATAAACAAACTATTTTGTCTTTATCCTTTATAATTTATAATAACTGTTGTATCCACTCCCTGTATGATTATAGGATAAACAATTACTTTATGTCGGTGCAAATAAAGCCATTGTTGCTCACCAAAGTGTTTGTGAAAATTCCATTATGGAGATCAAAAGAGTGTTCTGATTGTTGAACTATAATCAAAATCTCGTATAAGTTAGTTATATTCACATTAGTTAGTTACTTGATCAAGAGACACAAATACTCTGTTTCAGGTTGTGTCTTTTCTATTAAGAGTCATGTCTCTTCAACACAATGTTTCGTTTAGTATAAATATAGGTCGAGACTCACATTTGTAAAATAATAACAAGTAACTAAAGTTGTAATACTTTTTCAAGTTATTGAGAAAGACAAAGTTACAACCATTTGTTCTTACTCTGTTTTCTTATTCAAAAGTCGAAACAATATACACTTCAACATGGTATCAGAGCTATTCGATTGAGTGAGGACAAGAAAAAAAGCACAAAGGAGAGAAAGGCGAAGAAACAACCGCAACAGATCGCATCTGTCAAAGGAAATAAGCCGAGACAATGCAAAGCTCCTCACACCAAGTGATCCCGATCTTCAACGGGGAGAAGTATGGCTTCTGGAGCATCAAGATATCGACCATCCTTAGGACAAGGAAACTTTGGTCAGTGGTCGAGGAAGGCGTACCGCCGGAACCGGTACAAGGAGAAGAAACCCCTGCATCATTAAGAGCAGTAACCGTTAGAGAAGAAGCGGTTACAAACGACACGATGGCGTTGCAAATTTTGCAAACCGCCGTCACTGATCAGATATTCTCACGCATATCCGGAGCAACATCATCAAAGAAGGCTTGGGAAGCGTTGAAAGACGAATATGAAGGATCTCCCCAAGTTCGATTGGTGAAACTTCAAACGTTGCGACGAGAATACGAAAACCTTAAGATGAATGATGGAGAGGATGTTAAATCATTCACCGATAAGTTAGTTGATTTGGAGAGTCAATTAACATATCATGGAGAGAGGAAAACGAGCGCACAACTCGTTCAGAAGATACTCATCTCTATGCCTGAAAAATTCGATAGCATCGTTAGTGTTGTGGAGCAAACTCGCGACTTGTCTCTACTTACAATGACAGAGCTTATCGGAATCCTCAAGGCACATGAAGCAAGATTGGCTGTAAGAGATGGTAACAGCAATGAAGGAGCATTCTACACGCGCTCAAAAGACAAGGAAGCCGGTTTCAAACGCCGTGGCACACAAGGCAAGAAGTGGTGTGAATTCTGCAAGAGAAGCAATCACACTGACATTGAATGCAGGAAGAAACCGAAGAAGAATGATCAATGGAAAGATCAGAAGAGTAACAAAGAATGTTACAATTGTGGTAAGATTGGCCACTTCGCAAACGTGTGTCGATCAAAGAAGAAGGAGAAAGCACACGTGAGTCAAGAGGAAAGTGAATCGGAAGAAGATCACATGTTGTTTACTGCAAGTGAGGAAGTAACAATAATACCAAGAGAAGACTCATGGTTGATAGATAGCGGATGTACCAACCATATGACAAAGGAGGAGAGATATTTTTCAAATATCAACAAGAGCATCAAGGTTCCGATCAAAGTCGGAAATGGAGAGATAGTTATGACGGCTGGAAAGGGAGACATCACGATCATGACTAAGTATGGGAAGAGAATCATCAGAAACGTCTATTTGGTTCCTGGTTTGGAGAAGAACCTGTTGAGTGTACCACAAATAATCTCTAGTGGTTATCAAGTATGTTTCCAAGAGAAGAAATGCATCATTCTGGATGAAAGAGAGAAGAAGATCTTGGAGATTCCAATGATAAATAAAAGCTTTAGGATAAAGCTAAGCACGGTTCAAGAAGAAGCAATGCTAGCTAATGAACCAGGAGAGATGAAGATATGGCACAAAAGACTTGGCCATGTGGGAAACACTCGGCTCCATCAAATGCAGCAGAAGGATTTGGTAAAAGGATTACCAAATTTCATGGTTCACAAGGAATCATGTGGAGCGTGCAACCTTGGAAAGCAGTCTCGTAAAAGCTTTCCAAAGGAGTCTCAAACCAAGACAAAGGAGAGATTGGAGATCGTACACACAGACGTATGCGGACCAATGCAACATGAATCACTTGGTGGAAGTCGATATTTCTTAGTGTTTTTGGATGACTATACCCATATGTGTTGGATATACTTCCTCAAACAAAAATCAGAGACTTTCTCCATTTTCAAGAAGGCCAAAGCAATGATTGAGAAGCAATCAGGGTGTTCTATCAAGATACTAAGGTCCGATGGCGGTGGAGAATTCACATCAAAAGAATTCACCAAGTTTTGTGAAGAAGAAGGCATTGAAAGGCAAGTCACTTTGCCTTACTCACCGCAACAGAACGGATCAGCCGAGAGGAAAAACAGATCATTGGTGGAAATGGCAAGAACGATGTTTGTAGAACAAGACTTGCCATTCAAGTTTTGGGCCGAAGCCGTCCACACGTCGGCTTACTTGCAAAACCGTCTACCAACAAGAGCGGTCGAAGGTGATCTAACCCCGATGGAGAAGTGGTGTGGACACAAACCTAATGTGTCACACTTAAAAGTCTTTGGAGCGTATGTTTCGTTCACATACCAGATCAAAGAAGGAAGAAACTTGAAGCGAAAGCTAAGCGGTGCATCTTCATCGGCTATAGCGATCAAACGAAGGGCTATAGAGTTTTCAACCTTGAAAACGAGAAGATCGAATTCTCAAGAGATGTTGAATTCGAAGAAGAGAAGAAATGGAGTTGGGAAGAACAAAAAGAAGTCGACAAAACCTTTGTCTTACCCATAACCGACGTCAATGCACCAAAAGATCAAGTGGAAATCAATGGAGAAGGAGTAAGCAACGATCTAAGTGATCAGATAGATCAAGTGAGTATTGAAGTTAAACTTGATTTTCGGTTAAGCTTAATTTTGGGTTTATAAAATAATTATTAATTATTAGATTAGACCCAAAATTAAGCTCAAGTTCTAGAATCTCTAGAAACATCACTAAAAATCATCATCTTTCTTAAATGTTCTAGAGAATTCTATTAGTTAAATATATAGATAATTCTATAGATAATTCTAGATGTTGTAGTTAAAATTCTAGATATTATTGTAGAAAATTCTAGAGATTAGGAGAATGTTTGTAAGATATTTTGTAATAAGTGGAGCCTATAAATAGCCCACTACTCCATCATTTGTAAACAAGAGAAGTTGAACAAATAAAGAAAGAGTGTTCTTCATAAGTTCTCTTATTCTCTCTAAAGTTTCTTCAAGTTTTCTCTAAGTATTCTTTCATCTTATTATTCATACTTAGAGGGTCTTTGTTTCTTTCGGATCTCTCGGGTATTACGGTCTTGGGCTAGTGCTTGGCACTATCGGTGTTTTCTTTACATGGTATCAGAGCCATTCTGATCTGGTTCTTTTTCAAGATCGGATTAATTGAGATCTCAGATTTACTCTAAGTATGGAGTCAATGGGTCGCGTTGTTGGG